TGTGTGTAGCTCTGTTTTTGGGGCCTCGGTGCGGTGTGGTGAAGTCCAGTCTGGCATCCGCAAGATACATATTAGTGGGGCAATGCACATGCTGCATTCTTGCAACATTTGACCATGCATTCCCCTCGGTGGAAATATCTCCATACTTTCGGTAATTGCGAATTGCGAATCTCGTCCTGGCTTAGCCGCTTAATAAATTTATGCAAATTGAGAGATACATTTGTGTCTGCCTCTATGGCGGGTAGATCTATCTGTATATATTAGGATTTACCCTAAAATTGAAAAATTTTATTGAAATACTGAAACGCACATGTTTTTTTTTTATTAAACTATATTCAGCCATGCCGAATCCCGTTAGAAGTTGTGCTCTTACATACAGAGGCGTGTCTATGGATAAGTAGTGTATATCTTTATCTCTGTCAAGTTTACCCCTATTCCTGCTTGCTTCCCTCTCCTCCTCCCCTTCCCCCCCTTGGCTTTGCTCGGGCACTCAACATGCGGATTTTATAATTTATGCAAGACACCAAACAAACTCTGCTTAAGTCTTACAAATTGTTTTGAGATGCTCGGCATATCATATAAAAAATAAAAACAAAAAAAACAAAAAAAAACCAAGCCAAAAACAGCAACGCCACCAGCAAATCTGTATCTGTATCTCAGTTTTGAAGAGCACCGCAAAAAGACGGCGAGAGAGTGAGAGAGTGAGAGAGAGCGAGAGACGTGATTTGATGGGAATTATTCCATTGCCGAGACAGTCGGAATCAGAGCCAGAGACAGAGCGCCGGCAACAGGCAGGCAACAGACAGTCAAAGCCACAAAAAAAAGAAGAGAAAAAACTGTGCAAAGTGCTCCAGACCAAAGGTAGTACTCTTCAGTGGGGCAAGGCCAAGGGGACAGGGGACAGGGGGTGGGTGACTACCCAGTGGGGTCTACAGCAAGTTGAATCTCGGGATGTCATGTCACGTAGGCAGCAGGCAGCAGGCAGCGGGCAGGCATCGCTACATGGACCATTCATACAAATTTTGTTTATAAGCCACTTTTGTACATTATTTGTGTGTAACTTGGCTCGTACCCATTTTCCCTCGCTTCCCCTGCCACCTGCAACCGGCCACACCGCGGTCTTCTGGCCGTTCTGTTCCGTGTGTTTATCTCCAGATGTATCTGTATCTTTATCTGTGTGCGTGCGATTTCTTCTTCTTCTCTGCCATGCGATTTTTTTGGGGGCAATTCATTCGCGCTGCCGCTGCCGCTGCCGCTGCCGCCGCTGCCGTGTTTGTTGTTGCGGATTCACTTGCGCGGCAATCGACAGCATCGTCCGTCGACAGTGGTTTAAGGCGCCAAAAAAACCCTTCCAAATTATGCCTGCATTAAGAATCGTCTAGGATCTGAAAGACTATAACATCTTGAGGAATGAAAGGTGCATCTAGTATCCATTATCCTCTGTAGTTTTTTTAAACTTGTATCCCAAAGATATCCCAATGTCTATGCAGTGTTTTAGTGCTCCAATCAATACAAATATTTTATGCATTTATTAGTTCTGGCTAATGCAAATGCAACAGTTTTTCCATATTTATTTAGGTTCCAGTTGTGTGACAGTTGCGATTATGATTGGATTTAGCAAGTAGATCAAAAACCTCATATATGGCTATCAAATGTGGGAAGATCTGTGGTGTGGTGTGTGAAGTGTAGGAAGAGTATTCTTGGGAATACGAAGTTTATGCTTGAATGCTCGAATTGGGTGATCTTCTTTGATCAATATATATTCAGCTCGATCCAGAAATCTATCGCCTACACTGAATATTGTATCGTAACTATTTGTTATGTGGTTTCCAAGTGTAAGTGTGAAAGCTGTCCGTTATGACAGGTTATTTTAAAAGTCTCTTCTTGGTCTCGTCCCACTGTTCGCCTGGGTATGTGCTGAAAGCCGAGGCACGTCGTCAACTCAATGCTGAGAACACAACACAAAAACCAAGACACCTCCACAGTAAGGCAGGCAGTTCGGCTCGGCTACCCCTGCTGCAGTTTGTGCTCCTCCAATGCTGCCGTGCCTGCTGCTGCTGCTGTTGCTGGGGAGCGAAGAGCAGCATCAGCACCATGGGAGCACCAGGAGGATGCAGTAATCTGCCCGAAAATAACCAATGCACAGCGGCAACCTGGGGGTAATGACAAACAGCACTGTTGTTCCAGCCATTTAGCATCCAGGGACAAGCTGCCCTGCCAGACAGAGCGCCAAGAACTGCTTCCTGTCACGACTGCCCAGCGGCCTTCTTGGCCATTTTCCTTGTTGGCTGTTGATTCCCCCTCGGACATTGTCTTTGTCATCGACATACAAAACAAATGACCTTGCTGATGAGTCTGCTTCTCCCACATGCCGCATGCCACCTTCGCATCTCCTTCAGATGGTACACATGGCTGGGTAGGGCGCAACAAGTTTGGCAAACATTTTGTCACTTTTTGTACATATTTTAATTTGGGCATTGGACTGGCACTGTCTTTTGTTTCGTTGGAATGAATGCTTTGTCACTTCCAGAGATAAAATACGTTTAAAAATAAATCAGCTTATGCCAGGATGTTGCCACTTTGCCAGGTTTAGCAAGAGCGTTTTTGTGGCATTTCTGTTTCTGTGACACTCTGCTTGACTGCCTGCCTGCCTGACTGACTGACAGAGTGCCTGACCGAACGACTGAATAACTGAATAGCTGAATGACTGCCTGCCTGACTCACTCACTGAATGAGTGACTGAATGAGTGAGTGACTCGCCCGACTGCGACTGCGACTGCAATTGTCACTGTGCTGTCAGTGCGGTCTGGCCATAAATCTACTCCACAGCACCACTCCACACAGCAAACACCGGGGACGCAGAGCAGCCATAACTGAAAATTAATAATAAATAAATTTCATAAAAATGAATAATAATTTTTGCTCTGGGGTGGATGGGGGGAGAAACATGTTTAATGCATTGGCGTGACCTTTGAGGTGTGGGCAAATTAATTAAACGGCGATAACTCCGTGTCGACATATTGACAGCTGCCCCGAGAGCAGCGGCAAAGGCCGGGGGCACGGACAGGGGCAGGTGCAGGGGCAGGGGCAGGCACATCAGCGGCGAAGATGGCTCTGGGGCCCAGGCTCAATTGCACATCATTAACTTTGGCCGACTGACCAAGTAGTGCCCCCGCTCTCTGCCCCTCTGCCCACCACTAATTCTCCTTGCTGGTATCATCAATTGGCCCGCGGGGCAGCCATCAGGCACCAGGCTGGTCTCAGGTCTCAGGTCCCAGGCCTGCCTGTTCGCTAAATCGCTGCACATTAAATGCAATTAAGAAATGATTGAAATCATAAATTAGCCCTAATTGGCCACAGGACGCCCTGCTTCCATCGTCTCGCTCCCGTTCTCGTCGTCCAATGGACGCCTCACTGCCACTGCCACTGCCACTGCCACCGATGCCAGCTTGATCGCCACAATTCATTCCATAGGCATGCACCATAGGGAGCTCCTCCCGCTCCTGCTCCTGCTCCTGCTCTTGGTCCAGGTCCTGTTCCAGCTGGTGCATCCACTGGTGCTCCACATAGAAGCCGCTCTCTCGCTGACAGGCGGCACGTACTTGTTGGCCAAATTGTAGGGTGCACAAATTGCAGTATTTTTAGCCACTATTGCCAGGCACAGTGGCACATAATACGATGATAATTTGATTGATTCCAAAATGGAGCTCATTTTAAAAGGCTTCCAAAAGAAGAACAAAACTTGGGACAACCTTTAGATACATTCTTTTGGGATCTTTTGGGATCTTTTTAGATCTTAAATATATCTTAAAGATCTGTTCACCTTTAGACTTCAAAAAAGCGAGGCGATCTGAACAGGTCACAGGTTTTGCCCAAGCCGAAGACATCACAGAAGAATAGCTTTATGAAGATTAAATATAATTTTAATGCATATAAATATATTGCCCCACTGCCCAAAAGCCCAAACAGTTAGTTAATTTGGTAGCAGTTTTGTAGAACTGAGCCGAGTACTGACCATACCCAAAAATCCAAAAACCCAATCACCCAAAGAAAGCCCCAGCAATCGACCGACCGTCAATCGATTATCTCCGCCATATCAATTGCCAGGCAGTGATTCCCTGGCCAAATGCTTGGCGCTTGGGGCGTGGGGCGTGGACTTGGGCTCGGCCCAGTGTGCGAGTCCCTGGAGCCGGAGAATCGATTCGGCCAATTTGGCGGCGGTGCGAACAGCCCCCAAAGCAAACACACACACAGCAGAGTTGGGGCAGAGAGAGAGAGAGAGAGAGAAGGAGAGCCAAAAGGGGCGCAACCAAATTGCCCAGTTAGCAACCTGTCCGGGCCGGCTCTGCTACGCCCCGACCCCTCCCCAGATAAGCATGTGTATAAGTAGATGAAATTAAGATTTTTTTTTTATGATTAAGCGTTGAGAATTTTTGACGGCAATGCCTCCACCGACAGATGTACCTACATACCTCCCTGTACCTCCCTTTCCCTCCCCCACTCCCCCAGTCACTTCTCACAGTACTCTTCGCCATCGGCTCCCTCTGTGGATATCGGTGTGGAGCTGGAGCTGGAGCTGGTGCTGGGACTGCGACTGCGACTGGGACAGAAGCTCTCATGAGTTGTAGCCGACGTTGTAGCGTTGGCGCTGGCTTCGCTGTTGCTGCTGTTGCTGCTGTTGCTGCTGCTGCTGTCGTTGCTTTTGCTGCTGCTGCTGCTGCTGATGCTTCAACCGCTGCTGTCGTTGACTATAAAAAGCCAAAGTTACGCAGTTTCCGAATTAAACTGTTAACAAAACAACACGCGACAGCACACGCACCCACATTCCCCAACCAAACACTCACCCACACACACACACACACATTAAACCCCATCCTTTCCTCCATTCTGTCAACTATATAACACACTCCTGCACGCACTCTAGCAGACTGTTTACCCCACTTTCTACCCCACTCAACACACACTTTCTACCCCACTCAAAAACTCTTTCACACATGAAAATGGCCAATACTAGTACTGTAAATCTGCTGCTCTCCGTCTCCGTGGCCGTCCTCCTGCTGCAGTGTCTCAGTCTGAGTGCCGCTGCCAGTGCAGACCCACAGAGCCACATGGAGAGGCAGGCGGATCATAGGGGCGTGCGACTACTGGATCGCTTCGACAATCGCTATCCGGATGGTAGCTACGAGTACCGCTTCGAGCTGGATGATGGAACGGCGCGCTACGAGCGGGGATACTTTGCCCTGATCGACAAGGTCAAGACCTTGATGGTCGTCGGATATTACTCCTATCGCATGACGGATGGGCGATACATCACCGTCTTCTACAACGCCGATCAGTTTGGATACCGTCAGAACCAATGTGAGTATAGAAGAATAGTTGAATACGAGTCGAATAAGAGCTTTGTTAAGTGCTTGGATGTTGTTAGGGAGTGTTTTTACTTAAGTGCTCTGAGAGCCTTTTAAACTTAAAAATGTTCTATGATAAACAATTTCACAAGATAATGATTCCAGTATATAGATGAAGCATAATTTGGCAATAGTGAAATGTGAAAAGATTGTAGATTAATGAATCCACAAAAGTTCAACCTCGTACTATTTGAAATTTAAAAGCGAAGACGAGAATCCCTTTTTTAAGACGAGTGAAAAAAAAAATCCCCCCCTATTTGGCATTTAATTTAAATATGTTTCTTCTATCAATTCTCTACTAAGAATAATACCCATTTGTTTGAATAAGCAATCAATTTAATTGATTCCATCTTTCTTTTGTTTCTCCCTCAGCGATCACACCTCAGGTGTACCCGAATCTGCCGCGCTCCATTGAAGTGCCAATGGCCAGCAGCGGGACGCCCGGACTACGCTCCCAGTCCCGGTCAGAGTCTGCCTACAGCTCCCCAGCCCCATCCCCATCCCCATACCCCACTACCCGTTCGCCGTCTGAGAGCACCACCACGCCCAGGGGGGCTGCGACGAGTCGCAGGGGAGGGCGCTTCTGAGACCGGGTTCAAGTAATTATTCCTACCTCTTCTTCACCTCGCTCTGTGCCCTGACTACTGATATTATATTATTATGAATTTAATTTTTTTTAAATATTTTTTTGCGTTTATTGAGAGCGAATTAAAAAATAATAAAAATTTATTAAGGCAAAGCTGCAGAAATTATGAATTTATTATTGAAGATGTTTCCAGTGGTTTGTGCGCCTCTTTGGGTATTTTATGGGTCCCAGCCAGTGGGTTACAGGGTCCCCCAGTCACGCCTCTCCTCTCCGCTTCAGTTCTCACTTCCCCTCTGGGATGAAAAGATTTCGCGATTTTTCGAAAGTCGCCGTCGCCGTCGCCCGACAATTTGGCAATAAATTTACCGCAAAGCGATTCGGGCAATAAAACATACAAGTGCAGACCCCACCGTCCCCCCACCAGCCTTCTCGGTCGCAGTCGCAGTCACAGCCCCCGCCCCTTGGGGTACGTATAGTGCATATATTGTACATATCGAATATCTGGTCATATTTTTGCATTTTAACACAATTTTCGGAGGGATTTTCTGGCCAAAGGCAATTAAGGAACGAAAACGAAACCAAAACTGAAACGAAACGAGACCAGGTCCAGGAGGAACGACGAAACGAACGGGAATGGGAATGGGAATGGGAATGGATGTGGAAGTGGGAAGTGGGAAGTTGCAATGGAATACCAAATCCCGATCCCAAAAGTGTGTGAAGGTTCGTCATAAATTTATAAAGTGCAGACAGTGGCCCGATTGGTTACGCAGGGAATCGAGGATGCGACGCCAGACGCCAAACGGGTTCAATGATCCACCTCTGACTGGCAGGATTACTCGTAAGCTCGCTCGCATATTTTCTTACCCTTTATCTTCCGACTATAAAGCCATAAAACATAAAAGCCCATAAAGAACCAACCTGAGGTCGGATTGCATTCGATTTCGCTGTGCTTAATTGCAGAGCTCCCAAAAAGGAAATCCAGCAATCCGAGCAATCAAAATTAATTTGATTTTGGTTCAAATTACGCAGAGTTGCATAATCAGGACATCGGTCCTACAAGTCTTTGTGAGAAAAACTTTTCAAAGAAATAATTGAACTTAAAGACAGCTAGCTTGTGGGAGGCCGTTCACTAATATCATTTATTGCCAGACCAGTCTATTGGATTTAAAATATATCAAAAGATCAAAACAAATTTCGTTGGCACTCTGCGAGCAGCACTGACCAGGTGGATGGGGATACTAGGGGTAAAAGAACAACCAAATAAATAATCTTCAAGCTTCCAATTGCATAGGTAAACACATACCACACACGATCTAGAGCTTCCAATCCTTATCCAGCGTCAAACTAGATTCTGCGCCGGTCATCGCTGCTAGGCACCCCAGCTCATGTGAGCAGCAGTTCAGCTCCTCTAAGGACTTCAGCACCCCCAAGGAGATAGCCTTGGAGGAGATTCTGAATTTCGGGTGCTCTTCCTCTTTGAATATCAGGCGGAACAGCAGCCAGTCGACTGCTCCTGGCTTGCCTTCGGCCAGCTGTACGAGATCGTTGGCCTTCAGTCGGAGACCCAGTTTCTTCAGATCGCGAAACGAGAACACCTGCCAGTTCTGCAGACGTCGAGCAAAGCTGCTGGCCGAAGTATAGAACTCCAGCTTTATGGAAGGGTACTTCTTCTGGAGGATCTGGGCCACGGGGCGCACATCGGAGTATGTGTCGCGAAGCGAACGCGGGTTCAGGGTGATACCCTCGATATTCAGCCACTTCTCGAGGCGAGCATGCTCGCGGCCGCTCAGTGCTCGAATGCGCTGCATTGCACTCACGAATTCTAAGTATGTGCGATTTTCCTTTAACTAATACTATTACTATTTAATACTACTAAAATAATTTTGAGTACTGTTGCTGTGTTGTGGGCCTAAGATCCGATCAACTGTTATAACCTATTTTCTGGCCTTATTGTGTGATGTGTATCGGTTGGAGGTCGAAACTGTTGTGAAATGTCGTGTGTGAAATATTTGTGTGCTCAAAACAAGTCACACAGTATATTCTCAGAGCACTCGATTATTCTCACTCTCAGTTTTACTACGATTTCTTCGATTTATCGAGCTAAGCGGCATTCCACCACTACATTCCACCACTTGCTAAAATAAACTACAAAAGGAAGGAAAATAGAAAATAGAATCTGGAAATTTGTTCTAATGAAAAAAAGAAAATTGAATTAAAAAGGAAATTGCAGAAGCGAGAACTTGGCTGCCATAAAAGCAACACTTCTTCGTGACGATGGAAGCCCTTCCCTTCTATGAGGCGAAGGCGTTAAACAGGCGTTGCTAGAAATTGCGGGATGCAGGATGCAGGATGCAGGACGCAGGATGCTGGATGGATGGGGTGCCGGGGTCACGGCCTTGGTCTCTTGACTCGATTGCTTGCCACTGTCGTCGCATTTGAAAAGACGAGTCGACCGAGCCGAAGAGGGAAGACAAAGAAAGGGAAAATAGAAACGGAAAGGAGGAGATCTTCGAGGACAAGTTCCTTGGTGGTGGTGTGGTGACTGCCCTTGGGTCGTACTAATTTGTTAACCTTTTTTACCTTATGTTTATATTTTTAATTGAACCCATAGGCTACGAATGCAGAGAATCCCTTCTTAAGAAAGATTGACCAGACTTTGAGGTTGTCAATATTATGATAAATGCACTTTACCGTCGATTTAACATTCCGAGAGTGATTATACAAGATACACAATAAAAACAAACTTTGACAAGTACTAAAAGCGCCTTTTCAGCTCGGCACGAAGTTACGCCGCCATCCCCAGTTACCAAGGAAAACCCCCACTGGATCCAGAGACCGAAAGACCAAAGACCGAAAGACCGAAGGACCGAAAGACAGACAGACAGACACATGTACCCGAGGTAGTTAAAATTATCAATGAAACTTTACAATCACAGTTAAAAGAGGAAAAGAAAAAGAATAAGCTGATGTGGAAGCGGAAGCGGACGAGCAGGAAAATGGATTGGGTTTTCTTGGGGCGGAGGCAGGCAACAGGGCGGGCGAAATAGGGGTGGAGGGTGAGTGCGAAAAAAAAGAATAAAACCAAATACAGAGAAAAAGTTAACTGAACTGCAACTTTGTTAACTTTGCCGCTTATTAAAGAGATGAACGGGGACGAGTCAGTCGGCAGCAGAACAGGAAAAGCCGCCGAAAGAGAGCAGTTGCCGGAAACCATGTTCGAGCAGTTGGAAAAGTACCCATATTCGAGCTTTGACTGGCTTAAAGATCCGCAAGAACTTTAAAAGCATTTCAGTGTCTTTAGCGGCCCAGGCAAGTCAATGTCAATGCCAGGCTTGCCTTGCCCATTACCCCCCATGTTTTTCCATTAAATACACATCGCCCAACAAAAAATCTTAAAGGTTATTCTGTATATGCAAAGCGTTTTTTTGTTTGGTGGCCTTGTGGCTGGCTGAAATATAATCAAAAGGCAATAAATATTGCAAATGTGACAAAGCAGGCAAAGTTTAACTAGGACAGGGACCGCAACGCCTCGCCCACACCAGAGCTCGGGAAATGGCTGGAAAATGTTTGCCTGCCACTGCGGCAACAGCAGCAAACAGCCAAAACAGCGACACAAAAAAATGTAAACCAGAGCTGAAGGATGGCCGAGCAAACAGGGGGGCAGAGGACATCGAAAAAGGACCAAGAAGCCAGGACGAGCTTGGAGCTGACCAAGCCATCAGATACCCTTGGAAAGCCAACACAGTCCGATGCGATATGCCAGTGGATCAGAGTGGACTGAAGCCCTTTGGAATATATTGGATATATGTATATGGAACCTCACCTTAATCAAGACATTAAAAGATAATCACGGCGTACAATACGTATGTGACTATCGAGCACAGCAAATTGGTATATCATCCATTTTAAGCTTATTGGAATTATGTGTTTGCCAGATTGAAATTCTAAGCTATTTATTTAATAATCTCTTGAATATATTTCCACTTAAATTTAACTTAATTTGCAGTCCAAAAAATGTTTTGTATCTTACCTAAATATGAGTATGTTTATGTTCATGTGTTGATGTGTGACTTTTCCCATGAAATAAGATATGTGGATGGTGAAATCATTTGTAAATTTTCCTTAATTTATTTTAAAATTCAAATAAAGTGGAGTATTTAGTTACACATTTTTACAGGCTTACAATATGTACGACCAATTATTTTCTATGCATGAACATTGATATGCCTTGCAAGCAATTAGTATAAATATAAATCAGATGTGGGATTGCTCCACCCCCGCCATAAAAATCGTTCAGGCAAAATACAAATTTAGATGTGATTTTTGCTCCTCCAAAAATAATTCCCCTTTACAGACATTTGATATAGCGAAGCAATCCGGATAGTTCTTGCTTGAATGCTTCACATAGCAGTGCAATCAAAGCCAGCAAAATCGCGACCCTACCCCTGTGTACGTCCCAATTGCAATGTCAGAATAGTTCACGTTGCAACACTTAATGGACTAGGGGACAAGCGACTCTGCTCAGCTCTCGATGCTGAACTCTTTGGCTTTGTGGGGCAAGCTCCTGCTCATTATTCGCATACCTTTGGCAAGGGTATAGTGGGGATGAGCCTTGTGGCTGAGCGGTTGAGGGCGATGCGATGTGGTGGGCGGGCTGGAAGGGTTCGGCGTTGGGGGTTGGGGGTTGGGGGTGGAGCGAAAAAAATTAAATATAAAATGCAAAAATGGCTTTTAAGCAGCGAAAGTCGCGTTTAGCTGTGCGGCCGTAGGGAAAGGGCACGGAACGGGCTCGGCTCGGCTCGGTCCCAAGGGAGGCAGGACACACGCCAGGTGGTATGTGGGCCGGATGTGCTAAAAGGACATTGCTGTTGTTCGTCAGGGCAGGGGCTCGTGTGTGCAGTTCATCAGCGACCGCAGCAAAAGGCAGAGATCCAGCGAGCAGAAAAAGGACACTCTGTCCTGCAAGTTAACCATCAAAAAATAAAATAAACAAATAACAGGAAGATGGGGAAAAAGCAAGTTATCATAGGACTGACTTAGCCGGGCTAAATGAAGCCTGGCAAAAGGTTCATTAAAGATATAAATATGGAAATAAAGAATGCAGCACGAGAAATTCAAATATTGGTATAGGCCCCTTTAGAATGGTGCAAAAAATAAGCCACGAAAACAAAACAAAAACTGATTGTGAAACTCCGCGAAAACGCTTCGTGGAACATCCTCGCGTGCCTGTGCAGCCCTGAGCAAATTATGAACTGCAAGCAAATTGCATTCTTTTGGGGGCATTTCTTTGCCCCATTATTTTTGTTTGCTTGCCGGCTGGCACCTCTAATGAAATTGCCCTTAAGTCTGTCTGTCTGACTGACTGACTAACTAGCTGGCTTCCCGCACCCGCCTGTCCCCCGGCGCCCCTCCTGTGTTTAGGCAAGTGGAAATTCATTATTTTAGCGAGCATGCCGCAAATTATGCGATGAACTTTTTCACTGCCGCTCGGCTCACATCTGTCATTTCTGCGCCTGCAAGTGGAATGGAATACCCCTATTGAGCAAGATTAAATTGTGAGAGAATTTCGCACGAATTTCATGCACGGAATCAACATTCCAAATTGAATGAGCCCCCGCTTTGATGGTCTCTGGTCGGGGCTGATTGGGCCCCGGAGTACATTCGCTTTCCATGATGGCTTGTCACCTGGTTTTGGGTTCCCAAGGATCTCTGATTCGATCTCTGAGCAACATATTGGGAGCACTTAGTCCAGACCACATTTCTTTTGTTCTGTTGTGTCTAGATAGAGCTTGCAATTATATATTGCATGACGATCATAGTAACTAAGTAACAGTTCCATACTCTGTGTTTAATTGTTTGTTTTAACATCGGATTACAGCTTAGTGGAGCTTTGCCATCATTACCTCTACCATCCCCCGGTGGAGAATCTCAGCTAGTTCTGGAAACTATTGCCATTTATGGACTGATTACAGAGCATGCTCCGACAATCCAGAGACAGACAATCCAGCTCCAATGATAAATACGGGCCCACCAATTATTCCAAAGCTGCCACCAGAAAAAAGCGAAGGGAATTTCCAACCACATAACAACTGTGGAATACATTTAAATTTTTAACGAAAATCCACTAAGAGCATTTCACACAAAACCCAATCCAACCTCTACCCATCCGCCGTTAACATCAACTTTATCCCGACATTCGGCAGTTCTAGGAAGGGATTTCCTGGTTATGCAGAGGTAGAATATTCGTAAAACTCGTATGTATGTACAAAAAAATAAATGTATAATAAAAACTCCCCTATGTCGCAGGCGTTGGGCACAAAACATGTTTCCTACCCGGCAATCGTATGGTGTTTAGGGTATATTGTATTCGCAAGGATCTATGACTTGAGCTTTGACGACCGAAAATTATAATTAATTATTTGTGATATTCGATGCTTCCATGTGGCCTGATGGTAATTACACAAAGTTCTTCTTCGATTCGAATATGGTTCCTTTGGCAAATGTGGGTTTCACTGGTTTCCAGCATGCAAATTATATTTCTTAAGTCCAAAGACTCCACGGCATCGTAGGGTATCACCCTGAGCAGGATCACATGTTGGAGCAGCTTCTCCGAAAACCAGAATTGGACTGTTGCTAGCAAAGTCTTCAAGAATATTTAAAGCCACTGACAGAAGGCAAATCAATGGAATTAGGGTAATTTGTAGATCGAAGAATATATAGCCTACAAACTCCCATTCATCGAGAATTTTCTTTAAGTCCTTAGCTGATACTTGCTGATCTCTCGCAATATTTCGTATGAGGAGGTATTATGTATGTTGCTTAACGGGTATCCCCGTAGTCGTAATCCCAGGTCCGGGCATTGTTAATTGTTTCTTTTTTTTCGCTCTCTGGTGCAAAATGAACATGAAGCTATTTGTTAATTCAATGAATTTATTTTACTGACAGAGAAAAGCCCAAACGAAACGGGGCACCGAACAGTGGCCAGGCCATGTTGCAGCACACACACGGGGACTACGGCAGATACTCACGCACATTGATGAACACATTACAAGATATTTTGCATATTTTATGGGCTCGAGGAGAGACGAAGGACCCACATACATATGTATATCGGTGGATCCATATGTATGAGCCGCAAAGGAGTGCACAAGTGCAGTGTGAGGGCAGGAGGGCAGGAGGGCAGAAAGGGAAATGAAGTCAGCTCGTGTAAAAATCTGTTTTTATGATTAATTGCCGTTCCAGTGAAAAATGAACCACGACAAGGGGGAGGCAGACGGCACACGCAGAGCTTGTCCTGGCCGGGCCTGGCCGGGCCTGGCCGGGCCATTTCTGCATTTCAATTTGTATTTTCCCAGCAATTTCATTTGCACGCCATTTTCATTGCTCCCCTCCCTCTCAGTTTCCTCCCGTCTCCTCCAGTCCCCTCCAGGCCCCTCCATCATTCTCGTTGCCAGACTTTACATTTCTCGCATTCACACTTGGCATCTGTCTGTCCGTTTTGTGTGGCTTTCTGTCAGACAGCCAGCTCTAGTTTTTCTTTTGCCCGGATTGAAAGTTTTATTTGCCCGATTTAATGGTGATCCCCAGCATATATAATTATACGATAATTAATCCCTGCCTGAACGAGGGCGCAACAGCATATTGTGCTCCCCCTTGGCGCTCTCTCTTTTTCCCTGCGCCAACGATTTAAGTTTTCCTCTATTTTTGCACCCTCCGCACACTGCGGGGAAAACTTATCTTGAGGAAAGTTTTCGGATCCGGTATTGGCAATTCCGTAATCCAGGACGATATATCTGAAACCAGATCGTCCGCAAAATCCTGACAAATACCCAAGGTACTATTCACAGAACCTCATCCGATTTCGCTAAAAATTCGAGTGTTTGTATATTTTAAAACATTTTGTATTTTCTCACGGTGTAGTTGTTTAGTGTGTGTTGTTGTTTTTCTCCTACTGCAAATTGGCGCGTTTATCTGGCATTATTTTGTGCACATTCGTTTCATATTGCTTTAGCTTGCTCCCTCGTTGGCTGACGAACACGGGAGTAAGGCTCTTTCTTTTTGCAGCACTACTTGGTCTGCCTCTTCCTGAGCTGTTTATACCCTTGCACAGACCATTTTCGATTCTATAGATTCCTTGGCAGCATCCATAGCTGAGTCCATGAGTTGTATTACAAATATATCAATCTACCAAATCTAATGGCAATCGAATGAGTAGTAGCGATGCAACTGCAAGTGTACAAAATACTTCGGTCTCCAAAAACATTGACTGTTTTTGTTGTGCCTCCTGCATTAGTTGATCGCCACTGCCACACCATCCTCCTCATCCGCTGTCGACTGCTGCCTCAACGACGAGTATTGCTTCTCCTCCTATGGCTGCCACAGCCACAGCCTCTACCGCTGCTTCCGTTTCCTTTTGCTTCACTCTGGTGGCACGCAGGCTTCCAGGCAGCACGAGGCGCAGAGGGCAGTAGAAGTGGCAGTGGCAGTGGCAGTGGCAGTGGCAGCAGTGGGGTCGGGAAAAACAACTGCAACTGGCATTTTTGGCGTTCCCGGCACGCGCTCACTAATTTTATTCCTTAATAAAAACCAAAGGCACAAAGCGATGGCAAATGGCTGAGCAGTGGGAGTACGAGCTGTGGGAGCACGACAGTGAGGAGCCAAGGCGGTGTGCAGAGGAGGGACCGGGACCCACATCGGAACAGTGGAAAGACCCAAGGCAGAGCTGCCACCCACCCCAGAGCCGGAGAAGTTCTGCACGTAGCGCTTCATCTCTCTCGCTGCGCGCATCCATTGGCCCCATTATTGGGGGGCCCACCTTTACGGGAGGCATGGGTCTCGCTATCAAACTAGCAAAGTTCATTAAAGTGATAATTACAAAGGCCGTAAAGCGAACGACGGACGACCAAGACGACACGAAACGGATATACGAGCTGACGGCAACAACAGCAACAGCAGCAGCAATAAGAACCGGAAAAGGGTTGCCCTCGAGACTCTTAAATAAGTGCATATAATTGTAAATGGGCAAGGACATGGGATACTACACTCTCCATCGTAGCCTCCCACTCGTTTTCTCTCTGACTAAAATTCGTTGCTTAATTTACAGTAAATGGAGCAGAACCGTTCCATCTGAGATGTTTATAAAATGTATACCTCCCATCCAGAAATTAGCAAAAATCATCAAATACGAGTATCTGCGTTTTCTAGAAAACGTTGATAAGTATAAGGGTTTCCTCTGGGACTCTTTGATTTAAATTAATTACAATCAATATATATAATATTTCAACTAAATTATATTCTATTTATTGTATAGTGTTTGATATTTATATTAACTATGTGCTTTATTTAATCAATCCCCATAGCAGTTTTCAAACAATGTTACAGCCAGTTACGGATTTGATTTTATAGTCCGTTGGCGAATGTCCGTACATTTTTAGAGCCAAAGTAGGCCAAGTAATAATTTGTGTGGCACTTGCTTATTTATTCCCCATTTTCATTCTCAAGCAAAGAGTTGTCACGTTCAACTCCGAAATTATTTTTTGTATTCCAATCAAAACCGACGAAACAAAATGTCTAGGTAAGTAGTCTGCAAATCTCTGCTCAAGTCACTCCTTTGACTCTCCTGCCATTTTTGTCGACAGGAACAAATGCGTTATCAAGCGATTTGATAGGCCAAGTGGACACGAGACCGGTAGGACACTGATGAAGAAAGCTACAGAGGAGACGCTGATGAGACGCGGAGATGTTGAAGACTCCTCTCCTGATACAATTCTGCGTATGCACCTCAGGAGGCTTAGTAGCGAGAACAGTCATCGCAGTGGAGTGGAAGGGATTGCCGTGGATCGCGCCCTGTCTCCGAACATGGCTACCGGCCATAAGTCTTGCAAACTGACCAAAGTGTGCAAAACTGGAAACCACTCGAGCACCAAGGACCGCAATTCGGGTACCGCTCGTTTCAAGTACAGAAAGAATTCCCAGATACGCACCAAGATCTGCTTAAGCTGTATGCGAAAAATGCTGTCCAAAAGTAATACAACCTCTTGATACAGACATCAAAATTTAAGGTTTAATTCAAAATACTTCGTTTTTTTTTTTTAATGTTAATTCAAAACATTAAAACTTGAGTACATATTTTGTTTCTTGGTTACTTAGTAAAAAAAACTAACGCTCGAGTCTTGTCTTTGTTTAACTCGTGCCTCTCGTGATTGAGATTCACGTCATGGCGACATGCTCACACGCACATTTTCCTTATCTTGTAATGAGTAATGCAGTAATGAGTACTTCATTAGATAAAACAAGTCAAAGGTAGAGATATAGCGGCGGATACAAATGGCTTCTGATCACCCAAGAGAGCTCTCCCCAAATAGAGTTCCCACAGTAATTAACTGTAGACCCAAAATTGTTCAACCACTTATTTATTTCGGGTTGTTTGAAGTCTTCTTTCCATCAATTTAATTGTGAACCCAAAAAGTAAATACGAGTACTGGTATGCCACAAAATTTGGCCAATACTCCATTGAAATCATCTTTTAAATACATATTCAGGGGTAATCATTGGAATCGAGGGACATATACAGGGACATAAAATAGAAGCAAACAAGACTTTAAATAATCATAACCCGAGACCCAAAAACTTTGCACAGCTGCCAACAGGCTGACGCCCAAGGACCAGGAAAACTTTGCGGCATAAACAACAAACAACGAGTGCTAAAAGGGAGGAGTAAAGGGAGGAAATCGGACGAGAGGGATGTGCCAAGAAGCGGGTTGAAAGCCATAAACTACAATTGAAAGAAACAACAAAGGCGGCAGCAGAGGCAGCGGCATTGGGCACAAAGCAAAAAGTATATAAATAAATAAATACATATGCAAAAATGCGAAAAGGATTGGGCAACAGAACAGTGAGATACTCGCACTTTGATATGCATCTAAATGGCATCATCAGGAGCAGCATCATCGCCATCCAATTCTCTGGCGGAACGGGTACTGGGACGGGGACGCGGACGAGGACGGGGACCCTCGGGGCGCCAAATGTGACAGCACAAGCAAGAACAACAAGCATATTCAAAAGATGGCAATCAGCATCGGTGCGATTGAGAAAGCAACAGCAAATAGAATAATACTCAAACGGAAAAAAACAACAATCCTAAGCGGAATCCAGGACATTCAAATGGGAGGCAAAGAAGCCAGTTTGGAGTCCAGCAATAATAGCTCCGGCATACCAAAGTCCATATACCCTTGAAGATCAACAGATTTCAACTAAAGATCTCAAATTTGAGTGCTAATTTCCCTCTTAACATAATTATATCTTTATTTTATAGTCATAGCTTCCATCATGGTAAGCCGATAATCATTCTTCAGGAAATCATACTTAATGTTCATACGTCTTATGTGAAAAATGTTTTATATTACAAATTGCACAGACTCTATGCCATTTGTCATAAAGCAATGAACACAAAATATTTTTCAATATATCTCGATAGCCAATTCTCTCCAACATAAGACTGAGCACAGGTCTAAGAACCTTGAAAAGAAGAAACAACATTTGTAGAGAAACAAAATTTTAACAAAAATTAGAATACCTTCAGGAAGGGCATGCCATCGGTAGGAAAACAAAAGCAACACAAACAGACAGCCATAAGAGCCAACGAAAAAACAGCAAATCATTTTGTGGGCATTACATTTTATTTCGCCATTCGTTTGCCGTAGCCAAAAGTGAACAGTGGGTCAAATATTAGATCAAATATAACAAAATTTTCAAGCCAAAGGGTAGAAACCCTAATGCCGCTAAACAGAGCAATGGATACCTCAGTTGTATTTCATTTTATTTATTTAATTATCTCGTACACATATGGTTCCTCTAGTTCCTTTGATCTCATGATCAGCCATGCTTTAATTTCGCTAAAAAATGCAGTCAAATTAAACTCGTTGAATAGGAGTACACGATATAATCATTTTTTCATATATTAGAAGTCCCTTTGTATTATTTTTATAATAATTGCTAAATGCTGCATTGATTGCTTCGTTTGGTTATATACCATTCAATAATAGCCCATATTATATTATAGTTTATCGAAAGAAAAAAAAAAAAAATTATACATTTATGTAGTTCCACTGTGCAGCGCGAATTTTAGAATCCTTCTCATCCTTGCTCACATATTGGATGGTTTTGTGGCTTTGTAATGCAAATGTTTGGGCAACCCTGGCTGATGATAGTTTTGCTCAACTGAAGAGAGGAAAAGGAAATAGACAATGACAATGACGGTTGATTTTGGGGAGCCACAGCCACAGCCACCCCCCAACCTCCAACTAACTCACTCTTATAGACATTGTATCCACGCTCATCGGCAATGAAATACTGCGTTTGTATCAGATTGCGTCGACCTGCGATGGGCACCGAGTTGTAGCCCTCCTGCACATTGATCAGCTGTTCGCCCACGCGTTTCGTGTACAGTTTCTTATAGTTCGCCAGGCCGTTGCTCAACACTAATCTGTAAATTCGAAATATATTTATAATATAATTTAAAAAATATTTAAATGTTTACTCTCTCCCTGTCTCTTTCTGTATTGTGGAATGTGTGGTACGTACTTGTACTCTTCGGTTCCATTGGGATGTATGAGGTGATAATTTTCAACAACATAAGTGGGGGTTGGTGTTGTCGTGCCAGTGGGATCTATGGGCCTGGGACGTGCAGTGGTTGAAGAAATTGATGGTGGAGCTGGTGCTGGGGCCGGTTCATCCAAGAAATAATCAAGATTTTCCTCTTCAAAGTCCATTTGCGGAAATACAGCCAATTGATCCTCATACAAAGGCCAGATTTGTGTTGCTGTTGTGGTAGTGGGTGGTGTTATGGTTGTTGTTGTTGTGGTTGTTGGTGTTGGTTTTGTTGTTGTTGTTGTGGTGGTGGTACTGTCCTCCAGTGGATTGAAGTCATCACCATCCTCAATGTCACTGGGCCAAACAACCAATTGTAATTCATAGATGGGCTGACTATCGGGGGACTTCAAGTGGCGCTGCAGCTGGACCGGCTTATTAGCCGTGCTACTTGCCCCAGACTCAGCCACAGCAGCCTCCACCTCCTGTCCCATGTCCATCTCATCGTGGCAGCCTAACGAGCCCATTGTCGCCGCATCGAAAGTCAATTTGCAGTCGATGCGTTGCCTGTCCTTCTCAAGTGTCGAACTCAACTGGTTCTGGCTCCTCGACTCCTCGACCTCCTCGACTGGTGCTGCCTGGACAGAGCTCTTGGCCAGGATTAGTGTCGCCAGCATCATAGCCAGTGGCAGGACGAGCCATATTCTGTTTGATGTCATGACTGCGGGCACTTTTCTTTGCCGTCTCTCGCTGCCAAAAGGCTCAGACTTGTATTTATACGAATCGAAAAAGCTTGACGCTTGAGGCCCTGACGCTGACTGTGACTGCAACTGCAACTGCAGCAGCAGCATCGACTGCATCATCGATTTAATCAACAGCACTTTGGACACCAGAAACATTTTATTCTCTCATTGTTATAATACCGTTATGCGACGCGCGGAGAAATGGGAACAGCGAACGAGAGAGAGAGAGAGAGAGAGAGAGAGAGAGGGGCCAACAGAATGAAAGAGGATCAAAATAAAGCTTTGCTTCTGCTTAACCCTTCAGTGGGTCACTGGGCATCATTCCCGAAATAAAAGTTATTCTCATCGAAACATAACTTTGAAAATAGTTTAAAATAATTTCCTTATACGTATGTACATAAATCAACTTCTTAAAGAGATAAAGCCAAAGTTAACAAAATATTCCCCCATTTGATTGGGGATTCCACTAAGGGATTTGTTTTAATTTTCCTACAATGAAATCTCTTCAAGTTCTAAAATACAGTTTGGAATTTTTAAAATATATATTTTATCACTAAAAAAGCTTTTATAATCGTATAAATATGTAAAACTTACTGACAATATATTGGAGATCTTCAAATTTAAAGACTATTATTCTCAATAAAGAGGTGCACGATGGATATTTATTACTGATTGGTATATTTTTCTTACTATTGAATTTCTGCAACATTATATTATGACACCCACACTTTCGACCGCTTGGCCTTTGCAAGGGTTAAAGTGCATTTTACAATCCTGAAAGATGATGAAAATCACCCAATAAAGATGTGAAAGGGCTCAGGTGCAGGATTGTTATAAAGTTTATAATTGTTTCATTTTCTGTGGGTATGGGTGTGGGTGTGGGTGTGCTGGTGTGTGAGCGTGTATGTTTCTTCGTATCTTTTTGCTTTTTGTGTTTATGAAAGTTCATTGGCTTCTTCTATAGATGGGATATTATCGGATTGATACGATTGCTGGCACCAAATTAATTCTGACCGAGTGATTGCCCAAGTAGAAGCATTTCGTAGCGGAGGCACTTCCCAGAGACACTTACTTGGATTCCTTATGACCCTTCACCTTTTGTTGGTAGTCTAGTCAAAGGGATTCATTATTTGTCCTATTTCTCCTTTTTTCTTGGTCATTTGAAGTACATCATTTATAATGAGATTTTCCAAGTTGAGCAAAATACGAGTACTTGGTGGACGGTGAATGGTGAATGGTGGAGGTGATGGAGGGGCAACCAGTGGTCGCAGCTGCAGCCCGAGTCGCGGAACAGAGACGCTGCTGTTGATAATGATGATGATGACGCAGCAGCAGCAGGGTATGCCGGGGCGGCGACGATGAAGCTTTTGATGCCCTGTTATTTTAAAAGTGGAAGAGTATGCCTTATCAGACAATAATACCTTATTTGTATAGTGTTTCGAAAAAATTGTATTATCAAATATCAAAAGCATTTAACCATATTTTTTTGAGCTTCTGTAGGATTAAAGGCTAAAAACGAGATTAATTCATTGCGGATTCATCTAGGGAACATACGAATTTCTGCCTAAGAAATTGATCAAATACAGTGTCCAAAATGCCCACAATTTGAAAAATATTTGGTTCAAATTTGATGACTATTATCCACCGAACTTCAATTATTTCGCATAGCTGTGAGATAATATATTTGTTGGTTTTTGGCAATAGTTTATTTTTGATGATAGTTTTTTTCCAAATCTAGTTAGGGTATCGCCATAGTCGGAACAAGGACCATATTGTGATTTCTTCTGATTGCTCCTCTTCTTCTACTTTCTTCGTTTATCTGGCGCTTCTTCTTTGGCATCTCCTGCATCTTCTTGTGTGATTTTGTTGCTGTCGTGTGTCATAAAAGATACATTATTTCGTGAGATATTTTTAAAGCTTGATTTTCTTAAAACCGGTCCAACGCCTCTTCCCGCCTTAACCGCCTCGCCAACGGCATTTGAATCAATCGATTGCCTGCCTCTGTGTCGTTTTTGATTTTTTCTGGACATTTTCAAGGGCAGCAGCAATATCCATTTTTTAGTTCAATTTCTATTTAATTGAAAGAAAGCCAGAACGAAACTAACACATACCCCCACACACAAAGCAAGGGAGGGGAGGTCTTTAATGTGCAATTTGTCAAAAACTTTTTTGATTTATGAGTCCACAACGGCAGCGGCAGCGGCAGCGGCAGCAACAACAACAGCGATGGCATCGAGAACAGCAAGCGGCTGTCAAACAAGTTGTCCCAGTACATTTTCCCCTGCCCCTGCCCGTGCCCCTCCCCCTCCCGCACGGAACCAAAGAAAATTGAAAATCTCTCACACAAATTTCCATGCAAACGAAACATTTTCCCCCTTCTTGCATCTCCCTGTTCCTGTTTCGTTATATTTTCTTCCTTCCTTGCTTTTTTTTTTCTTTTTTTTTTTTGGGTACAAGTTTAATTTGATTTGATTTTTTGGTGAATGCCGCTGGACATGGCCCCCAAGGCAATTTGTCAAGGACACATGTACATACATAGGTATGTGCAAATTTATGTACAATCTTTATTCCGTATTTTGAGGCCCCAAAATAGTATACTTAATCCAATTTAAATGTGTCAATATTGAAGATTATTTCCAATCTAAAAAAAATTGTTATTTTCTAATTTTGAAAAAGGAGCGACAGCCAGCATGGAAATATTTTCTTAATAAATGCAATTAATTTATCAAAATGATATTCTGTTACTTGGTAAATAATTAAGTGAAGCCTGAAATTATTTTAAGCCCAGGAATACAGAAAGAAAATGATTTAATTGGAACAAGTTTTAGAAGTTCGGAAGATAATAGTCATCAAATTAGAACCAGATAGTTTTCAAATGGTGGGAATTTTGGGAACAGTATTTCAAAAATTTTGTAGGCAGAAATTCATATATTTCGTTTATGAATCCGCAATCTCTTTATTTTCCTTTGACCCTACAGATGCTCAAAAAATTATAGTTAAATCTTTCGATATTTTTGCTATCTATGAGATAGTTTTTACCGTAAGAGTAGTAGTACCATCCTACATATGTGTATATATTTTACCCTTTTTTTCAAAGTTATTTGGATTAAGTCGGATAAATTAACTAGTAAAGCTGTGTTGTCCTTTGAAATAATTACATTAACTCATCTTTTATCGATGAAATATTAAAATTTCTGTATGAAAATGAATAATAGATTAAATATTTTTTCACTGGAGGAGGGATGTTGGCGTGGGACCAGAATATGACCCGTCTACGCCTTGAAATTATACATGTATATAATATATACATATATATGTATGGATATAAGAACCATTATGATCAACTGTACAAAATTTCAGCTCAAAATTGGCATTTTTCGAGTGTCTGGCAAACTTTTGGCTCCGCTTGTACGGCGTGTGGTTTCCATTGAAAATAGTCATACTTATCTTTGAATTAATTTTACTTTGCATCTCATACATCCACAGCAGTATCTCATTGCCCAATTGTTTCCAGAGTCTTATGCTGAATTGTTTATGGTTGCAACATGGCAGAGTGGCAAGTGCAACAAGGTAAAGTTAATCTGCTGAAGCTGAAGCAGAGACTGAAGGAGCGCAAAATATGAACAGAAATTAATTTGGGAAATTCTATAGCGAGGCGTGGGATGCGGTTGGGTGCTGTGCTCTGGTCCTTCAGGGGTGAAAAGGGTTGAATTCCAATAGGTTTGCCTAACAATGACTCATTTGAATACACAATTCTGCATTATTTTGGTATCTAAATCAGGACCAAAGCTTTGTGCATATGGGTCTATTGTTGTCATTTTCATTTAATCGATTTAATCCCATGCTCTTACCTCAACAATAAAGCTCTTCCGAAAACCTGAGGAGCATTTTAAATGCCCATATAACTTGTTATATTTAAACATACACAAGAGTGCAGCACTCGATATTAAAATTTGACCCACTTCTTGTGTAGAATCCAGTTCTTAAATCCTTATTAAGAACAATTAAAATTCGGGCCAAATCAGGTTCCATTAACCGCACCCCAACAAGAATAAGAAAACAAAACCGATGGAATATCATAAACGCTTTTGAAATCTCTTACCAAAGAGACCATATATAAGAAGATTCCGATTCGAGGTTGAGATCAAAGCGAGATCAACTCAGGAACGCTTCAAACAAGATCGGAAAAGATCAAAAGAAAACTGAAAAATATATCAAAGATATAGAAATAGTTAGAACTTTATTAGAAGAGACATCATGGAGGGTATATTGAGTTTGAGATTCCTCATCCTGATGGCTGTGGTATGTGTGGTCGTGGCACAGACTGCCACAACGAAGGAACCCATGAGAACCACCACCGGGAAACCTATGAAAGACTTTAAGGAGGCCACAGATAAACGCGATAAACGTCAATTGGTAAGTGAGATTGGGGATCTACGAGGAGCAAAAAGGTGAAAGCTTTCCCAGAATTCTTGGGAGATATCTGTCCGCCCAGGAGGATCTCTCAGAAAGATATAACATACTCCTGTGTGTCTGGGAAGCTTATCCTTCTGATACGATTTTTGGGATACATTTTAAGGGATTTTGCCCTTCGCTGCTTGTTACTGGACATACGCAAACATGCAAAGAGGTTTCGATTTCCGATTTCCATTAGACATTCTATATGCACCATAATACCATAAATAAATAGTGAACATTCTTGTGGCATCCCTAGTACAACCCCTGGCTTGCTTCTCAATTGCAGGGCAGCAATGTTGGTGCCGCCGCCAGCACCGGAGGCAATTTCCCCATCTTCTACGATGGGGTCAATGTGAATCCTCCCCTGCAGCCGCTGCAGCCACTGCAGCCACTGCAGCCGCTACAGCCCCTGCCACCGCTCCAGCAACTGCAACCCTTGCCGCAGCTGCAGCCCATCACCGTGGTACAACCGGGGGCCTCCAGTGGCAATCTGCAGGGCCTGCCGCAGACCGGCTGGCTGCCCAACTTCGGACAGAACTTTGGCCAGAATCTGCCCATCATTGGCACTTTGGTGGGCGGTCTGCCCAACCTGATCAACAGCCTGGGTCTGGGCAACCTCAATGGCGGCTTTGGCACTCTGGGCGGCATCAATCTGGGCAATCTGGGCAACCTGGGCCTGGGCGGACTGACCCCAGTGGTGGCGACACCCGTACCCGTGCCCGTACCCATCACCGGTGTCAGTCCCAGCAATCAACAATGCCCGCTCACCCAGAAGCTCAGCTGCCGCTGCGAGCCACTCATCCAGCTGCCCGGCCTGAAGCCCAGCTCCCAGCTCCGTGGACCCCAGTCCCAGTCCCAGTCGCAGTCGCAGACGCAGCTGGTTCAGATCCTCAGGCAGAACGTGCGCCGCAACGATGATGGGTCCCAGGAGCTGCGCGTCATCCTCAGCAGCGGGCATGTGGTCTACCAACGTACTGCGAAGGATCTCGGCCAGAGCGGCTACTTTGCCATGAGGATCCAGACGGGGCGGTACTTCAACATTTACTACACTGTCAACGACAAGGAGTACACGGTGAGGGCCGACGTCAAGGACGCGCCACCCAGCTCCGATTTCGATGAGGGGCTCAGTGGACAGATCTAAGAATCGTGCAACGGACTGTCTCCCGATGAGTATCGAGCATTGAACGAGAAAGTAAAAGGAAATTACACATCTGGTCAAAAGACTTTCTCCGATAAATGGGTATAACACTTGAATGTCCACAATCATCATCGTCTTGAGCGGCTCCAATCTTTCCTCCCCACATAATCCTCAACGTTCATCGCATAGCCACTTCTTCAAAAAGTATATAAATCATATTATTTTTTTTTTTTAGAACTAAAACTATAAACTAGCCGAAAATAAAATACACAACAATGAAACACATTTGTGGAAATTGTCCCGCTGGGGATTGAAGTTGCAAAGACAAACATTTATGGGCCAGGACTATAAAGTTTTCTGGATGTTGTTTTTTATTGCCGCAGTTGGTGTTGCTGGGGAGGAACCAGCCAGGGCTAATCTGCCTTGGGTTGTCTGAAAGAGGACTTTGGAGAAAGACTCCTTAATATGTAATTACAACGTCCGGGCAGGGCAGGGCAGGGCGAAGGAGTCGGAATCGAAATCGGAGTCTTCTTCCTGCCTGCCACTGCCACCAGTTGAAGCTCCTGGTGGATGGTGAAAAGACAGTGGCTCAAAGACCTCAATCTCCGAATGGCCAAATGGAAATCAAGCCGTAAAATGCAATGTCCTCTACCCAGCTCTGCCCTGCCCCCAAATGCCACGCCATTCGCTCCTCGTTTCAGTTAAGAGCTTTGCCGAGCGGATGCAACTCGAACGAGGATAAGTTCTGCAATGAGCCGGGAACAGGATGACCGGGAAATGGAAACTGCAGGATACTGCTCGGAACAGCATGAAAGCCGGCAATGCGATATAAAATTAAAAGTTCGCCTTTGTACTTCAGCTCGGGACACTTCTGACTGGAGCACAAGCTGCACCCTGAGGCTTCTATTTGACCTTTAATCCCGCGTGCATTCAATGAAAGTCGATGTACCAGTTTTGTCATATGAGTGCGCTATTTATCACATATCACAGGCCACTGGTAATTTGGATGCCAAATCAATTACAAAGTCTGAACAAACCAAAGTTGCATTGGCGTGTGGCATTGACGAGAGCCGCCTTAGAACGGGGCCAGCGCATCCGAGTTCTTTTGAAAGAAAAGAGAATACAACTTAAGGACATTGCAAAGACTTCGGTATAGCACAATAAATACCTAACGTTCTGGAACTTCCGACTGGATTCACGAGGACCAAGCACCGTACCCTTTGCAAACACTCCACATTGTTGGAGGCACCTCCTCCTGGGAGAAAACATTCAACAGCACATAGTCGATGGCTCCAGTCCGGCCTTCGGCCAGCTGCTTGAGATCACTTTTCTTCAGCCGGAGTCCCAGTTTCTTTAGCACGCGATACGAGAAGACTTCCCAGTTCTGAAGACGGCGAGAAAAGCTGGAGACCGTGGGATAGAACTCCAGCCTGATTGAGGGGCAGATCTTCTTGAGGATCTCTGCCACGGGTCGCACGTCGGAGTAGGTGTCCCGACGGGAACGCCAGTTCAGGGTGATACCCTCGCTCTTCAGCCATAAATCAAGCTGAAAACGTTCGCGTTTTGTCAGCTCACGAATGGTGCCCATGTTGACGCTCAGAAACTATAATTTTCCAACAACTAATACTTCAAAACATCTTTGGTTTAACCGAAATACTTAGAAAAGACGCGATATTTCGTCTGTAAAAACTAATACAATTTTGTTTATATTTTGTTTTTTCGAAATTTCTGAATCGAAGTGTATCTTACGGAAGTTGAAACTGTTCTGACTGTGCCAGAGAAAACCAGAGAAAACCAGAGAAACGGCAGGCTGTCATAAAATACTAGATGGAAGGGATTTTCTGTGCTAGCTTGGTTTTGTTTTTCCATACGAATCGAACCAACTATCGAAATCGATGATGTCTGAATCAGACCCTCTCAGATTCTGGTTCAGATTCATCACTGTGCCCTCCTTGTGCACCCTCTATTGCCACACTCTGTTAAATATTGCATAGCCAAAGCGATTGGTTGGGGTTGGGGTCTGGTAACCGCTTCCTCAACTAATTCACCCGACTGTGGCATATGAAATCTGTTGTTGTTGTAGGGAATGGCGCGGCGTGGCGTGGCGTGGCGTGTGGCGTGGGTCTAGGGGCGAAGCACAACCGCATTGCTCTGTGTAGACGAAAGTTTTCCGCAAATCATAAATGGGCCCAGGACACAGGACACAAAACCGGACCGGACCGGACGGGACGGGACGGAACCCTGCACTCTGCAATCGTCAAACCCTAAACTTTTAAAACTCCCCTTAAACTTCCGCGCACACACACACACGCACACCCCCCTCCACCCCCTCCTTCCTGACAGCCCACTTCCGCCTCATTGGTTATGCCAATTGGGGGAAAATTCCCAGGCAGCAACAATTGAAATTGCCGGACTCGTTGTCGAGGCGGGGGAGTTTGCCATTTGATGGAACTTTAAGCTGCAGCTGACTACTCGCCCTCCCTCTCCCATCAATCCCTATGGCCGGCGGTAATTACATATTACCAGATGACTACCATTAAATGCCCCCCAATGCCCCTGCCCCTGCCCCTGCCACTAACGTTGGGGGCTTAAAGCTGGCACAGAAGTATCTTTAAGTGGTGCCGAGTTGCACCACGCATCATTAAATCGACTGAATGCTCCACATTTGGTTCGGTTTGCCGACTGCAGGACCGGCCCGGGACTGCATCCATTAGCAGAAATGACCAGACGGGCACAGAGACCCAGACCCGTCGCAACCGCAGACCAACGTGAGTGACCAGCGAGAGCGAGGCTCGTGACTAGACAGTGTCCGACGGTCTTGCAACACCATCCAGCCCACGCCGGATGACCTATGGCAACGTGACAGCGCTCCACTGAACGCCCCTCCCGCCGAAAGCTGCCGCATTGTGTGGCCAAAAAGCGAAACCGCAACTGAGCCTGGAACTGGCCCCGCAACACGGGGCAAGTCCGAGAATCAGAACACACAGAGCCAAAACCCGGAGCTGCAATAGAGCCCCAGAACCTATTGGCAACGGATGCGAATCGAGAGCGGAAAGCGTGGCAGGTAGCTGGCTGGCGTTGTTGCCGTTGCGCGAAGAGGGCAAATCGTCGGGCTGGACGCCATGGAAATGACTAAAATGTATTAGCCAGAATTAAGTTGGTTACGCAGGGAAAGCGAGACGGAGGGTACGCCGTGAGGGGAGGGGCGCAAAGAAGGCCGGACACCCAGATACACAGATCCACATAGTATTAAGAGAGGTGGCCTGAGACCTCCATCTAAAGGGTGAGAGAGGCAAAGAACGAGCCAGTGCATTGGTTTTGGCCCGCCCGACACATGTGAATGGCCGAAAAGCATACAAAACATTGGGCTGCTTATGGTTATGGCTTACGGGTGCTTTGAGGTTAGTTTGGGTTGGTCTGAGTAACTAGTTTGGGACTAATGAATGTTGAATTCAACGGAGTCCTTGCAGACCCCTAGCTGAAAGTAACCCATAATTTCCATTACGTATTTTCCATGGCTTATTACGATCTGTTTCCCCACAATAATCTATGCCTTCAACCAGGTTTCTTTTCACTTTCTTCATTACTCATATATTTATATAATGGTTTTAGTTGAGTTATACAATTTGGCTTAGATTAGGTTCTCAAAAGGTTTTACAATATCTTACCATATTTCTCCCAAGGGGAGATTAACAATGAGATTATTACGGATTACCGGTTGAAGGATGATATTTGAATCATTTTTAATATATAAAACTAAAACTTCTACCATTTCCTGATCTGATGAATACGTTATTGATGGCTAATTTTTATATTATGGTTTTTGTATGCATATCTAATACCCCTAAGGTCTGTCGACTCTCCTTATTCACAGTCAATGATGAGCTTGCAATTCCAAAATATTGAAATCACTGAAGGGTTCGCGATTTGGTTAGTGATGTTTTCGAAACTCTGTTCGAAATCGTATCCATTTGTATATTCTGTCCTGATTTGCTGGTATTCTGCCTTTGTTGCATACTTTTGATGGACTCACGGACTCGGACATCTTTGGTTGTCTTTTTTTCAGAATAGTTTATAAAAGGTGAGGGTCATCCGGCTACATCAAAGGGAGAACGATTATTATTGTTAACAGACTTGGTACGGATGCTCGGATCTAGATTTGGTATATTTTTCTGAGAGAATTGTGGATTATTATATGTAAATTCTTGAGGTGTAAACATACTGTATTATATGTATTGAGGATTTTGTCTGTAATTGTGGTTGTTCTTATAGTTAATGTTCGATCGATGTGCTGGAATCGGTTTTTGGTTCGATCTACCAAATTCCGCTGTGTCTTGTAGTCTTGTAATCCGGTCTAGGCCAGATGGAAGGTCTGTTGGTGCCCTCATCCCTAGGAAGATCTCCTCGTAGTCCCCTTGACCGTTGGCTATTTTGTACAGCCATGGCAATCTGGTCTTGTATGGTTCCCAAATCTCTTTTATCGGCATAGTGCAGCGTAAGGCATCTCGATATCGCCTTCCAATTGAAGGGAACATTATAGCACTCTAATGTCGTATCTGCTTGCCCAATGATCTTGTTGCGGACTGTAAAAAGTATTCCAAAATATTTTGGAGTACCTTCCTGATCGTCATAGAGCGCAAAAATCCTATCAACTGCCTTTTTCCAAGAGCTAAATTCAGATCGGACACCGGAAAACACTCGAAGAAGTTTCACAACGTCTGGAATTCTATCCAATTCGTTCAAATTTCCACGATATTCAGGCTTAATTATTATATCGGCGAAATTAAGAAAGTCTGAATTTGGGTAGGGAGTGTGTTGGGTCCTTCCAAGTATTTCGGATAGCATAGTTGCTAGTTCTGTCATGTCTGGTAATTGTTAAATTTTTCTTGTTTTCACTGGAACTTTGAGTTATTCGAAATTTTGAGAAATGGTCCTTAAAGGTTGAGAGAGTTTTCACTAGTTTACGAAACTTATTGTTGTATTGTTCACTGGATCCTTCTTTAGAGGAATACAAATACACGATTGAGAACTGCCTTTATTGAGAATCCATGTTCAACTGAATCTAGAATCTGTAATCATCTATTGGTGATCGCGGCAGAGGAAAGTCGGCTGCGGAGTCGGCCGCAGGAGTTGGGGGGCAGCATCAAGTCAGCAGCGGTGGTCGGTGGTCGGTGGTGGGGACAGAGAACAGCAGAGTCAGCATTGTCGCAGTCGCGTCGTCAAAGCAGGGGTGGGGGTGGGGCCGGAGGACGGCGTCGACGGTCTCGGAGAAAATGCTGACTGAATTGGATCCAGCGGTACTTGAGAAATACTTTGGTTCGGTAATTTTGTTTGGACTGGAAATGGAAATATGATATACGTACATTCGGAGTTCTTTGAAAGTGGACACAAACGGATGAATAAACTGAAGAATGTTTGTTTTTCTTTTTGGTTTTGATTTTAGAGCATTGAACTCTTCGAACAGGCCACTCTTGAAACAGAGCATAGGCTTAACTTATAAGTTATAGCTCTCAATTAGCCCTTAATTTAAATGTGGCATTTGTACGTATTTAACAGTTCAATATTTGATGGTGCAGGCTTTCCAACACTTAAAGCTTTCCAACACTATTTCCAGCATCGTTTCAGAGATGTAATCGCTGTAATCCCTACCTGTCAAAGTAGTAGGCCGGCAGTTTCCATCAAATATAATATTATAGTTCGTATTCATAGTTCCCCAAATCATTACAGTAGTTTCAAATCAGCGATATTTTTTCCAAATTCTGCCCAAGTTTTAATCAGTTGGCACTATAAATATTGTTGCTTTATTTCGAAGAAAAGTGTAAGCCCCATTGTGAAGCATTCGTGGATGAATTTTATTTACTTAAAAGGTAAGTATGCTCTGGCTTTTGCTGCACAATGAGCACCCAATAGTCCTTTAAACTAAAGTTAAAAAATAGCCCCATACCATACAAAAAAACGGTAGAAGACTTAAACTTTGACTTAATATGGTACAAATAGCTGTTGTTTCGATACGAGCAATCATCTTTTCACGCCATCTTTTGAATTTTTAACCAGGATTTTGGTGGTATAATATTGCAAATACGAAGTACGTGGATATGATCTACTCCTTCAGGCCTACAACCTACTTTTGGACACGTACAAAGTACGCTCAAAAGTCGTCATTTTGTCGCGTGGTATTCTATTCCAGAATTTTGAAATTATTTTGACCATTTCGGGAAATTAAGCCAGATGCTGATCAGACTCCTAAGCACTGTCGAAACGAGGCTGCAGCAGCCATTTCTGCCGAATATTGAAGCCATTTAGTGGGCGTCAGTCTCGAAAAATCTCTTGAATAATCCCCTCCATCTAGTATGCTGTGACAGCCTGCTGTCAGCTGGTTTGAGCACAGGCAGCCCATAAATTCACAACGCTTTCGACTTCCATAGAACATACAACGTTTGAAAAATACACAACAAAATAAATTAGTCACAACATTACTTTTCAAATACACAAATTTCTTCTGTATTCACAAGTTTTGGTCAAAAGAAAAATTAGAATTCGTGAACGCCATGTGTAGCATCCGTCAACTGTCTGAAGAGGAGCGTTCGCTCGTCGATTCATGGCTGGAGAGCGAGGGCATCGTGTTGAACTCGCGCTCGCGGCGCGATACATACTCCGATGTGCGGCCCGTGGCAGAGATCCTGAAGAAGATCTACCCCGAAATAGAGCTCGAATGCTATCCCACTGTCAGCAGCTTCGATCGTCGCCTCCAGAACTGGCAAATCTTCGCGTTTCGGGTGCTCCTGAAGCTGGGTCTGCGGCTCCACAATCATGATCTCAAACAGCTGGCCGAAGGCAAGCCGGGGGCCGTCGACTGGGTGCTCTTCCATGCGTTTTCCCACGCCGAAACGTTTCCCAAAGTACGGAGCTGTTCCAGGGCCCGTTCCATGGGTGGTGTTTCCAGGCGCCAGAGCACGAAAAAGTGGCGCGATATTTAAATGTATGCTGTATGAAATTGCCCTTTATTATCTTGGGCTATCTATAATAATGGCCTATCATCGCCCCATCATCGCCATACAAATTTCAGGTGGGTGGAATTCCTTTAGAAAAACGGAGAACGGCAGACCTCCAAGTTTAACGTAACCGTTCCCGCCACAGTTCAAAGATGATTGCTGGAGGGACAAGAAGACAGTTTCCCGCCGGATGCGACTCGATTGGGGATATCATCTACGTGGGACCTGGCCAATGGCACGTGCTCCTGGATGTCCGGGCTACAGTCGAGCTCCATGGATTAGTTTATTTTAGTAGTACCCAGATCACAGATATTTTAATAACTCGTACAAAAAGTAAAAAACCCAGCCTCTTCTGAATATGGATATATTTACTTCTTGTAGAGCAATACACTTTATCCACAGTGGTCAGTGCTCGCCCCTGGGCTTCTGCACAGCCTGGTAGAGTCCTTGTGCGCTTTGGGTCGTAGTGGGGTCCGAACCGAGCGTTGGTTCTGAAAATCGGGGTTCTTGCACTGGTTCTTCCTCGCTTGCGTTAGGTATTAATCCAATCCTCTAGTACCTCTAGTAGATCTAGAGGATCTCCAATCCTTATCCAACGTCCCAGTGGATTCTGCGGTGTGCCCGTTGCTATGGTCTGCGAAGCGGTTCAGCGCCACCAAGAAGTTGGCCTTGGCAGTGATGCGGGAAGGCGCATGATCTCGTTCCCAGTCGATTGCTCCTGGTCCGCGACGCAGTTTCTACAGCTCGTGAGAACACCTTCCAGTTTTGAGTTTAGGGGGGTGCGTTCACAATCAACTCCGATACTGACCAATACAAATTATTCAAAGCTATTTTCTGTATTTTTTGTGGTATTCCTACTGAAATCCTGCAAGGATGTGTCACAAAACTTTATCGTTAGACCGTTAAGAGAATGTTTGAACTACACTTGCGTCATCTGTGGGATTCAGAGGAACACTACTGTTATATGCGCCCCCTAGATCGAACAGTGCTGCCAGATAAGCACAATTCAGTTATATATTTATATCAATAAGTTTTAGTAACAATTAACGAATAGATCAAGTCAATCGGTCCTTTTTAATCAGGGAATATAGGTCGATATACATAGATTTTAAGGATATCCACCTAACGTTGGACCGTTAAGAGAATGTTTTAATACCGCTGGCGTCATCTATGGAAACAAGAGAGAAAAAAGCTTTTAAAGGCGCCCGCTAGACCAAACAGTGCAGCCACACTAACAGAATTGTCACATTGCCGCTTATCTACTTCATTTCTACTTACAAATAGAGTATTATTTAATTCTACGAGTCACAACAGAATTTGGCTATAATATTTTTATTTTAAAAATAGAGATACGGATCCAAGAAATTCGTTCCGCTTATCGCACAAAAATATCGATGTGGTGCCGATCAGAAACGGTGAGGTGAGGTGCGTTGAAGCCTTTTAATGTTGCTGGGCCATTTTGCCATACTGTCCATACCTTTTTTTAATCACCAGCAACAAAGTCCTCCAGCAACATGCAAGCGAGAGCGGGCACACTGCCAGAAGAAACGGCAAATGGTCTCACAAATTTTGCTCTGCCTGTCAGCTGTTCGTGAAACCAAAAAAAAATAATACAAAATAATGCCGACAAGTGGGTATTTAATAATTTAAACGCAGCCTTAGATAAGGATATCGTGGTCTTTTTTTAAGCAGAGATAAGAGATAGGATGGGCTCTCAAGAATATATATTATTATTCTTTTTGTTTTCCACGAATTAACTCAAGTTTCTATCCTGTTTAAATTAACGGGTTTTAAGTGGGCTAAGATCTTTTTTTAGCGGTATATTTACGGTATATTTTAAAAACCAAGGCGGCATATTTAAGTATATTCCAGAAGTTCAGACACTAAATGGGCTAAAAAGGTAGGGACAACAGGCAAAAACTCCCGTAAGTTTTTTTTGTTTGACCTTTTTCGCCAAAACCATTTTTCAGACAAAATCCAATAAAAGCAAGTATTAAGAATACCCCAGTTAAATAGAAAATTGATTCATCAATCGTATAAAATTATGATGGCATGGCTTAATGTTCTGTATAGCTAGTAATATTCGACGGAATATCAAAAACGAGGAATATGTATAACAGAACTTGAATTCGTCAGTATATTTACGGTATATTTTTAAATCGAGACGGTATATGTAGGTATATTTCTGAGGGTTGGACGGTATATTTTATCGACAAGTCCGCGGTTACACTGGTTGTCGGTTTAGCGCTGTCGAAGGAAGGTTGTGTCGAAATTTTTTTTTAAGAATTCAGAAAACTCGACTCGTGTGTCGCACGCACAATTTGCAAAACAGTAAAATCTACGAGTTCAGTGCAGCTGTAGTGCACGTGTGCCTGTGTGTTTGTGTTCAAGTGTGAGTGAGTGAGGACTGTGCAGATCTGAAACGTTGGTTCTCGCGGAGAGGAGGCGGAGAAAGAGTAAGAGCACAACAAAATACAACAAGTGCAAACAACGCGCGGACATCTTCTGACACGAAACAACAAGAACAACAACAACAACGGGTACCGTTGGCGGTAGAGTGTTAGAGTTAGAGTGTGGGGGATTCCGGCGGCGGCGACGACGTGGGAACAGGGGCAGCAGGCACGTTATTGTTGCTAGAACATTGATAGCGAAATGATTAATGAATAAAGCGCGGCACACAGCCCAACGGCATATCGAGTAAATATATTGTACATTTAATACTAATGAAAACTATTTCACCCGCCCTTCCCCTCCCACCGTCACCCCTCTATAAAGTTATATATTTTAGGCGACGTTTCTGCTTTTCGCTTCTGCTGTTGGGTTCGAAAGAGGCAGTGGAATGGTAAAGGGAGAAGAACTAGCGTTGGTCTTTCGGTTCGTTCTCTTCTGCCATTTCCATTTGCCATTCCTGCTGCTGGTGCTGTTGCTGCTGCTGCGGTTTTTTGTCGCTTCGCTTTTGGCCGCCTGCAGGCCGCATAATGAGAGTGCTTCAATTTCAATGCATTTCGCTCTCGCGCGCGCTCTTTCTGGCTTTTTGTTGTTGCTGGTGTTGTTGTTGGTGTGTTTTGTTCCTCTGGCAGGCGGCAGTCACATGCATGTGCATGAGAATTTCCAGCTGTGTCGCCGAGGAGTGTCTCCTCTCCATGTTCGTCCGTGTGTTTGGAAGGGAGTCTGCGATTTGGAATTGTGGGCCTGGCAGGAAGGGGGAGCTTCATTTGTTCGTCCTTCCGCCCCCCCCACACACACACAGCCTCCCCCCGGCAGTCCTTGGGCTACATTTTCGTTTTATTTTGTCAAAGTTTGTTGCACTTTTCGCATCCTGTCAACCCAGCCCACCCCACAGCATTTCCTCTCCCTCGCACATAGTACACCCATTCTGTATTTCGTTTCCTCTCCTTTAACCGCCCCCGTCCCTGTCACCCTCCCCCTCCCAACAGCAACAATTAGTCGCAGCTGAGAAAGAAGGGCACCAAGGCAGAGCAGAGCAGCGCAGCGCAGCGCAGCGCATCGTCGCTGGCGGCAGACAAAAGCCGCCTTGCCATCTTGCAGTCCCTTTCCTCTCTGCTCTCTTCCTATCTAACGCTAGCGCTGTCTCTGTCTTAACTTTTGATACCCTCTCAGCGGGTATGATGGTTCTTGCCACGTCTGTTAAATAATCTTATGCACGTTGGTCCCCTACGAATTATAGGGTATTATATGGTGCGACCCCTTCCTCCTGACTGCTGGTCTTCCCTTCTTATTTATGTACACATTCCACTTGGCACTTGTTATATTTATACGCTCCGAACACTTGCACATGCCACACCTCCCTCGCCCGCCCGCTCGCCCCCTGGCGCACTCTCTCTTTGGGATGTGGGATGTGGGATGTGTGGCATCATCAGTATGCCAGTTGTCACTTCATCGTTTTAAATGCGCTTCATGGTTTTCAATTTCGGAAAACAAGTGGCCCAAAAGAGCTGCAGAAGTGCCCATATTACATGCCACAGCAGAAGCAAAGAAGACGTTGAGGCCCTCCTGCTGCAACTCCCCCCACCGTCCCCCTCCCCGACTGCAGGCAAATGAAATTAGTCTCCCCAGCAACTGAGAAAGAGAGAAGGAAGACAGGGAAGGATGGTGAGCAGCAGTTGGATATAAAACTCAATAAAATTCCACTAAATGCAAATTTCGAATGCATCCATTCGAACTCATACAGCCACCATCCCCCCGCCCCCAAGCCCTTACTGCCCCGTCAACAGCTCGAAATTACAAAAAAAAAAAAAAAAAGAGAGAAAAGAAAAAAGAATAACGCCAATCCGAAAGTTCCGGCCAAGTCTTTGGGACGGTGTAAAATCATTATTCGTCACGCTTATTCGTCCGTCTGGTGCTGCTTGAGGGACGCGTCGCGGTCAAGGGCGTAAACGTGTTCTCCGAGAGAGAGAGAGAGAGCAAAAGAGAGAGACAGATCGCTTTTGAATATGAGAAAGTCTTCAAAATACAGGTAGAAATGCGAATGCAACGCAGCTACCGGAAAAAATGAAAACAAAACTCTTTAGAGATTGGAAAATTCCAGACTACCCCGCGATCTACAATGTATCCATATATCAAAGGAATAGATACTTCAGCTAAAAGTTTCTCTCTCTCATTTTTATCTGATTTGACCACAAACTTTGACCTACCTGTTGATTTGTGGAGCAAATAATTTCCACACTTCCATCCTGCCACGCACTCAGCCAATTAACGGTATTTTGGAGCAAGAAAAAAACCAAAATTAATTGTGGATTGTGGAAAATATTACGCATTTATCATCGTTCCACGCGTATTAACGTGGCTATCAGCATTTTTCATCATTCACTCAAATTGCGGCCCATTACGGGGGCCGGAAAAGAATATAAAACAAAATGAAATTAATATCAAAAATTAAGGGGAATACTTACGAGAATATGTATATGCAAATCGCAGACACGCTACGTTGACTGTTTGTTCTACCAACAAAAAGAGAACAATGAAACCAAAAAAAAAAAAAAAACCAAAAAGGGAGAACCATTTTGATGGCCTCCAAAAGACCAACCTCCCATGGTCGCCCCCTCTCCCCAAACAATTGCACAAATTGCCCAAAAGCCAGAGAGAGAGAGAGGGAGAGGGAGAGGGAGAGAGGCAGACTGACGTTAAGGAAACGCGAAGGAAATGCAAAGGAAACTCCTTGGCTCCATTAAAAGTTGGCCCATTTGACATCGGTTTCATCGTTCTTCTCACCCCCTGGCCAAAAGGGGAAGTTTTAATGGCCTTTCCCTGAGTCCGTCCAGTCGTGGCTTGAAATTCTGTCTTTTGGGACACGTAAGCCCTCTCTTTCGCCCTCGCTCTCTCTCTTCTGTACAAAGAGAGCGAGCGACTTAAAATTGCCAATCAAATGAAACACAAAAAAAAAACACACACATACACACAGACACACAGAAAAAGTGCAAAAATTTAGCACGCTTATCAATTTATGACATTCGCCCTGTAAGGCCCCCCGCCCCCGCTTGACGCCCCACAGGCACCGCCGACTCTTCATCAGCAGAAACTTTGTTGCCAATTTGCATACAATGCAGTTTTTGCAGTTAACATTTTCCACTTGACAGTTTGTTACATTTTTTGCATCTTGTTTTAAATATTTATTTGTATTTTTTATAGTCCCCCCACACAACGTGCGGTACTTCGTAGGGCACAACAGTAAAGGGGTATACTTTTTATAGACTCTTAGAGCCGCACATATAAATATTTGCAATTTTGTAAATGTAATTTGAAACATTGTAGTGCTAACTGCTGGAGGGCTATCTATGCCATAGATAATTCTAGTATATATTTACTGCTTGTTTATTGGTTTAATCATTGGAGTATATTCCAAGTAAATCCCAGTCCCTGGGTATCCCCACAGTAGCAAGACGGGCGTGCGAGTGCCCCACACGGAGTGTCCCGTCTTCGACACACATTTAGTTTTGTTGCAAAGTCTGTTGCACAATTTCAAAGTCAATTCATTCATTCGATTGTTTTTTCTGTGTGTGTGTGTTTTCGGTTTCAACTTTTGATGCCCGGCGCGTCGCTGCTCGGCTTTCAATCGATTCCACATCCAAAAGCAAACAAACGCCGCTCTCGCTGTCGCTCTCCCGCTCCCGCTCTCTCTGTCTCTGTCACTCTCTTTCTGTCACTTTTGTTGCTTTAATCGCGCAATATTTTAGGTTCAATGACTTGAGGCATTTGTTTTGTATCGTTTCTTTTGCTGCTCTCGGGGGGTGGGGAGTGTTAATTACTTCTTCGTTTTTTTGTTCTTGTTTCAATTGTCACATTTTTTTTTATCGGGGCAGATCGAACGCTTGGCCACGACCTCCCAAAAGAGGGGAGGAATCGCTGACAGACAGACGCAAGCTGCCTGATACATAACTATTTTGATTGGTCCGCGAAGCGTGCGTGTCGTCAGCTTTTAAGCTTTTTTTGTTGGCCCTAATGACGCTATAAGCCCTGCCCTGCCCGTTGGAGTACGTAACGACAGAACACAGAAAGGAGGGAGCTCTGTCACTCTTGGAGCTTCTCTATAGACAAAAAGATGTAGCCATTTCCTTACAGCAATCAAAAATAAGTAGAACACAAGGCTTCTATACCCTTTTTCGTTAAATATTAATGGGAAATGTCACATCTACTCGATTGTATCTATGCCAAAGCGAAGTTCAATGTACCTGCCCGATTCCGATTCCGATTCCACAGCTGCACAAAGTCTTCTTCCCGTCTCTGTTTCGTATTCATACAATACTCGTATTTATTTATACAGCAGTTGACATAACACAAATTGAATTATAACATTTCTTTCCTGCTTCTCTTTGCCGTATTTTTCCTGTTTGGCTGGCTGCTGCAGCAACATTCCGTGTATAACGCGATCAGACGTTAAGTTTTAATTAACACTTTTTGCCCCACTTGCACGGGCAACACCCCACCCGATCTCTGCCGGATAGATGGGGTGTCTAACGGTGCCCTGAAGAGGGTATTAGTATATGCTGGCAGTGCAGCGTGTGGGCGGGGGGGGCGGAAACCCTCTTAAGCCCAGCCCCTGGCTTCACTCTTAGCATGGCTTTTCCCACTTTGAGTAGTTAATGTATGAGCATCATCCCGATAGAGGAGGGCATTAAATAATCAGTATGATATGGGATATATATACCATATAGGGATTGGATATAGGCCAGCCTTGAAACTTATTAAAAGATATATTTGATGCTCGAGCGGAATGTGTCGCCTCCACATACATGTCGTGTGCATGACGCGACACATTTGAGGCTCGGCTCGAGTTTGCTTGGTGCCCCGCTGCTGCGAAGGAATCGAGCACATTTGTAGGGTATTCTTTGATTCATTGGAATGCTGTGGCATTTCCTTCTCTCTCTCTCTCTCTGTCTTTCATCATCCAGTGTCGCGTTGCGCTTCAGTGTGCAAATATGCTGGGGGATATTCGCTTCATTGCATCCGCTGCCCCAGCGTTACGTGGCGTTGCGTTACGTTGCGTTGCGTCGCATTGTTCCGGCAAGGGCAAATCCCAAGTCCCTGTCACTGGGCCCCCGTCGTGGGTTTAGATAACGCCCTAGAACAGCTGCCTCCTACCCTCCGCCACCCTCTACTGCTGCTGCTGCTGCTGCATGTTGTCTGAAGTAATTTATAATATCATGACGTGACGTGCCTCGTGCCGCTGCCTTCTGCTTTGGCCTGATAAATGAGGCGAATGTCGCCGTGGAGTCAGTTGGCTAAATAATAAACTCTCTGCGAGGCATGCGGGCCATGGCGTTTCAGCCACGTTTTGAGTTGAAAAATAGAATGGCTATGGCTATGGCTATGGCCTTCCCTTCCCCACTTGTCACTCTCTCTCTCTGTCTCTCTCTCTCTTTTTTACCCTCTCACTCTGCTTAAGCTTCACGGATTTTGTTTTTGTTTTTGGCGCGCTTTAGTTTTTAGAATTTTCCATCAAATCATCAACACTTCCTGCAAAAAGCGTGGCTCAACATTATTTATGCAGATTTGTCTCTTTTATTTTTTCGCCCACCACTCGTTGTCCCTCTCTCGCTCTCAGGCGAATGATGTGGCAGACAATGAGACGCATGGAGGCGCAACAAGCGTGTGAACTAGCGCCAGGCTATTTGAACAAAGTGCCACAGTGGGACTGCAGTCGATGGAAGATGCCCAAAATGGTAGCCAAATTTTGCTTTAAAGCCCAGAGAGCACAGATGAAAGGTTTCGTGCACCAGTTTTTGTCGAGGCACACCCCCCGTACGACGTTTCATATGATTTTTGATTCGTGTCCTTCAATTTTTGTACATTTCTTTTGTTCAGAAAGATCCTCTTTAAAGACTTTATTGCTTTAGTGGCCCCAATAGATGCATTTCTTATGTCCCTGGGGCCACTGTGCGGCTGTGCGGCTGTGTGGAGCCGAGTGGAGTGGCCAAAAACAAAATGCCATTAAGCTTAAGTTGAGCACGACACGAAAGAACAAAATCAGCTGAGAACCGAGCGAACTGTTTGTGGAAAAAGGCACATAAAAAGCAAACAACCATTCGCTGCACATACTCCTAGTGTTATAATAAAAAGCAAAGTCCCATCAAATAAAGTAGGGAAAAACTCTTCACTTCGCTCATATGCATAAGCAATTTAATGTGACCGTCTGGCTGGCTGGAATGTTGGTTGGATGTTGAATGGGGATGTTGGTTCCAGAGCTGAGAGCTCTCTTGTTTGGCAATACAATAAAATTTACACGCTTATTAATTTTTACAAGACTTTAACCGACACTTTGGCTCCCACAGGCGAACGACAGGAAACAACAACAACAACAAAACGGCTGCCGGGAGGAAAAGTAGAGCAATGTGTGTGTGTCTGTGTGTGTGTGTGTCTGTGTGTGTTTACCCTTTTGCCAGCAAACACACAATCCACATCCACATCCACATACACACACTCCTCCTCCGGGTAGCACCTCTTCAAACAAAAATTCGACTTGCTTTTTGGTATTTTTCCCTATTTGAAAGAGTGCTCGAGGGGTGGGGGGTGGGAGTAGTGAATAGTGGGGCGGGGGTAGTGGGCGGAAAGAGGGTTGCTCTAGTAACTCGCAAAATAAAAACAAAAAACTTCCGACTGCTGAGCCCTTCTGGGTAAATATATAAGCCACATTTTGGCATGCAAAATATGGCCAAAAGGAATTTTTATTTTTTGTTAATATCAAAACTTTTCGACACACGAAAGCGCACAAGTGAGAAGAGAAGAAAGTCAAAAAGGGAAAATAGGAGACTCGGAAGCGGAAGGGCAAAGAACCAAAGAGAAACGGAAGCAAACCCTTGAGGGGTTCGCTGTCATATGTGGAAAGCACATTTTTGCATTCCCAGACACACACACACACTCCCTCAGAGTCCCCGCCCCCCATGGCCAAAACAACTCCTTGGAATGACCAACAAGTTGGCACGGATCAGAAGCCAGGAAGCACGGAGACAACCGACAGACAGAGAGGCGCTCAGACATGCACACACACGACGAGCCAGTGGGTGTGTCGCGGCCTGCGTGGGTCGACACGAAGATACCCCTCAGCGGTGGCCAGATGATGCACTCACCGAAAAGTGTTAACCCTGTTTCAATTAAATCTGTACTTAAGTAGAAGGATATTTGAATTAAGTATTTTCCCAATCCCGTCAAAAGGTCTTTAGAATTTTCCGATTTTGGGTGAGGTCGTCGAGGCCTAATATACCCCACTGCAAATCCCAGCACCTTCGGGGGCATAAAAACGGAATGTTTAATTGAGAATAAAAGGAGTGCTGCCTACCCTCTCCCCCACGTACGTCTACGAGTGCACAATACGGTGTATGCTTGGTCCTACAGGGCCAAAGGTGAATCATTCGAGAGATGAAAGGAGCGAAAGGAGTCGGTGGGCTGGTGGAGAGCCGACCGCAGATGACGACAAATTGCAAGCTTTCTTTGGAAAGTTTCTAGTGTCCGGAATAGGGTTTTGGGGTTAAGAAAATTGCATGCGAGTAATGGAACACACACCCAAAAAAAAACAAAAAAAAACTCATGGGAGAGATGATTTGTGCAAAGTTGTTCATTCTGTGGCTGTTTCGGGGGGAACAGGCGAAACGGTTTCTTTGTCGGCAAATCATCCGAAATTCGTTGCAGAAGACCCGTCCTTCTGAATGAATGAATGCCAAATTAAATAAGTTCGGGGTGTGGGGGTGTGGGGTGTGGGGGGGAGTGGAAAAACTTTTCCTTCAGTGTAATTACGGCTTCTAAATACGGAAATTGTGTGAGGCTAACGGAAGGGGAGGGCCGTCGTCCAGGTCTGGGAAGCAGTTCAAATAGTTCTCAGGAATCCCCAGGTATCGTTTCTGTATCTAATTTGATTTCTCGGGCAAGTGCAGTGGTCACTTCTCCATGGACTGAACGATGTGTTCTATCAGATAGCACTCGAAGCTGGCAAAGATACTCTTTGATGGGGGCTTCCCTTAAATAAGGAACTCTTTTCCTCTGCCCCTCCTGCCTGTTCTGTATTTAAGGGAATTATGCTTGAGCATCTGACACGTCGGCCGCACTCTCGAGAGTTGCCAGGGACTTGGCAGTTGGCAGTTGTGAAGTGCTGCTGCCACAGCCAGCGCTCCTCAAGAGGAGGACGCAAGAGGAGCCCCCGTGACGAATGTCCCCTCACAATTTTACGAGATGCACTCGACAAGCTACAGTCGGGCTTGCCAACGGATCGCCGACGATTCCTGACTGGCAAAGACGTATTTTGCATCTCTGCTTTGTGTTTGTATCCGTTTACTTATGGGATCTTTTGCGCCAAGCCCATCTGCTGGCAGTCTCCACTGTGCTGGCACTGCATGTGGCGACCCAGGCCACTTAGACCTGTGGAAACAGCTGGTAGATGTCTTGTGTCTTGTGTCTGAGCCCCAGGAGTCACGTCCCCATGTCATAGTGGCAGTAGTAGATTTCTAATCAAATATGGTAACACAAATGACAAAAAACAAGACAAAAAAACGGGAGGGAAAAGGAAGAGTAATGTGCGGCTGTTTACGCTTTTTACGCTTCTGTTTGCTGTCATCTCATTCCCCCGTCTGTTTGCCGATCTGTCTAGTGTTTTGGGATTACTAATAATAAATGTTCGATCGTCTGTTTGCAGGTATGACGGAGGAAATAACCAACAATTGGAGCTATTACCTGTATATATCGCTGACACTGGTCCCAGTCTATTTGGCCTTTCGGCTCATCAAGACCCTCGGCTGGCAGCTCTTTGTCAACAACTGAGCAAACACAGGACAGAGCTCGGTCCCCACTCCAACCAGGGTGATGCATCTACTGCCGCATCCAGGGGACACAGAAAAAGGCAAAGGTGCGTAGTCACTCGAGGTCTCCACACAGATGCAGTCCGGTATTCGGTAGTGCCGCTGGTCGAGCGTTGAATAGTTTCGAGTGCAGCAGCAGCAGCACCCAAAGGGTCTCCGGACGGCGACCAACAAATATACAGGGACGAGGATTAGGCAATCAAGAGATTGGCAACTGAATTTCAATTGGTAGGTGCATCGAGGAGATGGGCAAAATGCCCAACTGAACGTCCTTTGTACAGGAAGCTTTGCATAGTTTGAAACTAAAAATAAATACAAAATTAATGAATTCAAAAGTTTAACGCGTTTCACACAAAAATTAAATAAATGTATGAATACAAATTTATTAAATAATTTTAAAAAAATTAAATAAATAAATTAATAAATTAAAAAAAAAAATTGTGCATTTGAAAAAAAAAATAAATATAAAAAAAGTTAATAAATATAAAAAAAAATGTATAAACTTAAAAAAATTAAGTATTAAATTAAAAAATAATAATACATTTAAAAAAAGGAAATACAAAATCAAAATTAATTTAAACAATAAATAACAATACAAATTAATAAATTAATTACGTATTCAAAATCCTTAAGGACGATGCAATTTGAGTCTCCTTAAGCCATAGCTGAGCCTAGCAAACGCCCTCAAAAACACGCAACCTACAGTGGTGTTTCATCGGTTTCCTTATCGCGTCTTCGCATCGTATCTTAAGGCCACCAAAACAGTCTAGCCGATCGGTTCTCATGGTGTTGCACAGACCTTTCCATGCCAATCATATACCCGCACTGTTCGTCACGATTATAGGGTGTGTTTGGGGTTTATAACGAGTTGCAAGCACACAATAATTTTTTTCCACTTAAAAACTATTTAAATATGCATAATTTGTTGTATTTTTTGTGTGTTTTTTGCAGTTGAAATACAACAAAATAAATTATAGCAAATGCAATAAAGAAAAGTGGAGGCAGAAGCAGAAAAGAACCCAGAGGTGGAGCCAGAGTAAAGGAGAGCGATAAACAACAGGAGGCCAGCTGCTGGGATTTGTTTGGCCAAGAAGCAGGCGCTGCTTTGGCCAAAAGAAGCAAACAAAAGGCGAGGCAATGCCAAGCAATCAACGTCATAAACAGGAGCAGAAGCAGAACCAGCATAAGGAGGGGCAGGACTACAGTGGCCGCCGTAGACGCAGTCATTGCGGTGGCATAAACGAGGAGCAGCAGCAACAACAACAGCAACTGGAGAAACGCAGTCAGCATCAAAACCAGAAACATCTGCTCGAGAGCTCCCCTTTTGCCACGAAAGCCCAGGACTACACCTCCAACGGCAACGGCAACGCCAACGCCATCTCCTTCTAGAGAGCAAACAGTGAAGCAGAAAGAGTGAAAGCAAAGCAAAGCAAAGCCAGAGCCAAAGCAAAACAACTCGCTTTGAGGACTGGGCACGCTGTACGACTCTGTACATGACTCAAGAAAACCAATTTACATATTTAAGCTTTGGGCAAACGAACGAGGAGGAGGATAGAGCCAACTAGAAGACCACTCACTCGTCAATAAAAAGGCGACGACGACGAAGACGAGGGGTGTAAGAAGGAGCCACAAGCAGAGCCAAGGAGTCAGGCACCAGGCACCAGGCCCCAGGCCCCCAAGTGGCAGGCGGTAGGCGGCTGGCGGCAGACGGCTGGAGTCGTTAGGGGCAATTCAAATCAAAAAGCAGTTAGCTTCAACACCTTCCACGTCGGAATAGAAAGAGAGTGAGAGCCAGGATGCGATTGCCGTATCGTAATAAAAAGGTCACCCTGTGGGTGCTCTTTGGCATCATTGTCATCACGATGTTCCTATTCAAATTTACCGAACTGCGCCCCACCTGCCTCTTCAGAGTGGATGCCACCAACAACGAGCTGTCCTCCCAAATGGTTCGCGTTGAGGTATGTACCCAAATCTCGGCCCCCACACACACGCACACACGCTACCCCCCGCCAAAAAAAAAAAAAAAACATCTTCGCATCCTCGTGGCCTTAACGTGCGTTTCGAGTGCGTAAGAAAGTTTGGGAAAAAGAAAGTTTTCTTCCAGCTACTCGTACGAGCAGCTATATAATGGGAAAACCAACAAGAGAGGGAGGGAGGGAGGGAGGAAGGAAGGCATCCTCCTTGCAGGTGTAGGAACAAACTTTTGTGGCATTTACATATCAAACATTTGTTCGCCTAAGGACTTTGCTTATTTGATAATTTAATCAATTTGATGGCAACTCCAAAATGAAATTAGTTTCAAATTGAAAAGAATCTTCCTTTAGTGAGTGAAATTTGTGTGAGAATTAATGCAAAACACGACATCAAGGAGACCCCTGTGTCATTCGTTTGATGAGACCAATCGACTGTGAAAAATACCAGCAATTACGAGTTAAATACCAGTATATTTGAATAATTATGAGCTAAAATCCGATAACACAATCTATTCTGTTGTATAGGCCAACGATAATTGTCTTCCAATGGCAAAGAAATAATTAATTGTATGTGTGTAATGACTCCTTCTATAATATTGGATTATTCCCGATGGGCACGTGCCCACCGCCACTGCTAGAGCTCCAGGTTATATTCTTTGACAACCGAAGCCAAACAGGTACCAACGATTCGCACAGAATTAACAAATAAAATACATGTCGTGTGCATGATTCTTTTTTCTTTTCTCAAAATAACAAGCCTGTCCAACACTAATCTAAATAATTGTCCACTTGTCCACCATTCCCTTTTTTTGCAGTCGATCGTAAAACGCTCTGTCAGCCATTCGCTTATGGGACATTTGTACAGCAAAATCAACGAGTGTTGGGCGATTTCCCCGTGAAAGGAAGAGGGGCATTCATTCAGCTGTAATCCCAGCTTTGGCCGCGATGGGCGTTTGTAGCATCCGCGATTGATTCGGTTATGCGAGGCTGAAGCAATGTAATTCAATATTCAACTGCAAATACACTCCCGCGACGCACTGTGGTGCCTGGGTCCCCGGGTCCCAGGGCCCCAGGGCGCCCTGGAACACAAAACGTTTGCAATGATAAATCAAAGGGAAAAATACTCGTAGAAATTATATAGGAATCGTAGAAATAGGAGAACCGAAAGCAGGATAACTAATTTCATGTTGGCTGAACATACAGAGCGGACTGGAGTGGTAATGGGAGGATGCCCCAGTCCGTTTGGGAGGAAAGAGAGTGGCCATCCATTCATTCATCCCCCCACACCCCCAGGACTGACCGACCTGCCGACCGCACACGCAGACCAAAGCAAAAGTCATTGAGGGAATTTAACTGGTTATCGGATGACCGAACACTATTTTGTAAACATTAGTCCAAACCAAAATGGTCCTCATTGGACGTTGAATACCATGGGGAGGCAGGCAGGGATGCATGGGAAATGGTAAAGGCAGTGGAGAGGGAAGGGGAAGGAGGGGGAGGAGGAGAAAAAGCCATTGATTAGCATTGGGAATATCGAAGGCCATAAGGAGCTTAGAACCGGACCAGGGGCCAGAGCCATGACTCGCACACGAAAGACAATACCGATTGAGATGTGTGTGCTGAGATAGACAAAATTTTACTTTTCCATTTCCATTCGCTCACAGAACATTAGCACATCTTTTGGCTTTAACCCAGAGATGGAATTTAATTTCTTGGCATTTCTGTTTGTCCGTAATTAAGGGAACAATGAAGCGATGATGCCTTCTGATGTTTGCCTTCTGGTGTGGGGAACTCCATTCCAGTTGATTTAATTTTGAAATTGAATTTTGATATGTTTGATGAGTGCAAATTTCAATGTGCATGCATGGACTCAAATATCCCTTCTGGTAGCCAATTGGCATAGACTCAGAGAAAACCGCACTGAAAATTTAATATTTACACTTAAATTTATATTTTATACCAGCTGATCCGACAAACCATTTTCTGCAGTATTTTCTGTTGCCCCGAAGGCTGTAAATGGAACAGGTTTGAATCTGGATACCTGCCCGTCCATCTGGACTTTTGTCTGAATCTGAGCGCCTGGCAATGTGAACATTTGCTGTCCAAAGCACCAATCAGCACATTCGGATGAGCGGAATATTGAATAATTGGTCCGTACTCGCATGAGAGACGAAGAAACGAACCCTAGAATCATTCCAATTGTCGTTGTAAAACCAGAGTTAATTGCTCAATTAATTTGTAAATCAAACTAAATTATCAAAAATAGAAACATTCCTTAATTTAATACAATTAATGACACACACCACAGACACAGATACGAGTATCTTATCAGCCAACAGTGAAGTGCTTTCCCCTTAAGTTTATTTTGTTTATCATTTGATAGGCCCCCCCGCCAAAACCCAAAAGCTATCATAGATATCGGTGCCCCTAATTCATTTATAATCGATAAAGGAACACCGATCGATATCCCATTACGAATCGCGATAGCCCACAATAGAGGGCAGCGCAGAAGGTGTTGGGGAAAAGGTTGGTTCTACAAGGCCAGAAATTTAACTTTTATTGACAGTTTGAGTTCTATTTTTAATAATTTCCATCGCATTACGGGGCCCGTCCCGTACTCAAGCCCGGAAGACATTTTCCAGATATTCTTCTGTCATTTTCCTTATTTTTTTTGACGCTAATGCCTAGGAAGGCGTTAACACCTGCGCTAACTCAAGCGTCAAACCAGTCCTCCCTCCCCTACACGGCCGTACTTTTGCCGTCATCATCATCATCATGCTCTGAGCCACGTAATTTTTCTCTCGCCTGCCTGCCACATTTTCTCTAATTTCATTTTTTCTCTCTCCCCCAACACGGACGCCCACGCCATGCCACACCGATGCCACGCCATGCCACACCGATGCCACACCGATGCCCTTGCAGAAATACGTCACGGATGACAATCAACGCGTTTATTCATATAACCGGGAGATGCCTTTAATATTCATAGGCGGCGTGCCCAGATCTGGTACGACGCTGATGCGCGCCATGCTGGATGCCCATCCCGATGTGCGGTAAGTATTTTTCCACCCAGGATGCGATACCCCTTGTACAACGGCGTGGTGAACTGTTCAATTAGTGCAGAGTCCTGGCAATCGCGAGTCATACTTCCTGCTGAAAGTGTCCTTGAAGCCGGCAAAGCCAAGGGGAAAGGAAAGGGGCTCTTGTTTCAATCTACATGTCTTTGCTCTTTTCAAATGTACAAAAATGTAGCATATTTTTTTGCCAGCCTTTTGCATAAAGTGTATCCTTCTCTATTGTTGGCCCCACAGGGAGAATATTGTAATTTTAATATTTGCATTTCTCCACCACCCCCCAGCCAGCCCTCGGTTTCCCGTCCCGTTGTCCTGGGTTGGCCTTGTGCCTTTGCCTCCTCCAGATTGCACGGCCACAATTCAATATATGTATTCCGTGTCGCCCTTTGGCAATTTCTCCTTCTGCCGCAGAGACAGAAGGCAGGCGGCAGGTCCTGGCTTACCCTCATATATTTTCCCACTGCCTCACAATACTCACAATCCCCCTCGTATTGCCATAATTCTTAAGTTTCCCTTTACGCATGAGTAATTAGCCACGAAAATTGTGCAATCTGAAAATGTTAAAGGCCAAAAGCAGAACATTGCAAAGAGATGAGCCACCAGCCTCCAGCCTCCTGTTGCCTTAATTTTTGTAGCCGCTTATATATATATATTTTTTTTTTATTAACAATTTGCCTTTCTGCAGTCCCAGTCCCTGCCTCATGCCTCATCCATGGTCTATCCCGGATAGGAGATGTCCGTTGACAGGGAGCTCGGGCTCGCTTTTTCTGATGGCTGCACAGCACAATTTCCGCTATTTAAAAACCTACTTCCCGGCTACCCGAAGCAGCCCCCTGCCACAGGACGGAAGAGACTGTGGGATGTGGAAACGCGATGTGGAAGGGCGATTTTAGTTACGAAATAGGTTCAGCGAGCGCCAGGTTGAGGCCAGCACTTTGTCCCTTTGTTCGTCCCAAAAATTCAGTAAAGTTTTCGCAAGTTTCTCGTGTGTGAGAGAGAGGTAGAAGGAGACTCCAACACTCGGATTAAATCTAGTATCTGGTGTGTGTGTATTTGTAGCATTTAGCATTTTAGCATTTGGACTTGGCTTGAACTCAATTAGTGTGAGTCCTCGGTAAGCCCCAGGAATAATTTGTGGGATTTTTGTGTGTGTGTTTGGAGAGGGGAGGCACGCCTCCCACCGTTAATGTTGAGGTGTGAAACACACAAAATGCGCTTTGTGGCATATCCGATTTGGGTGCATGAGCTCTTAATTCCTTAACTTTTGAGTGCACAAAATGAATGCAAGATTTTACTCGCAACCGCAATCGTTTCGCTTGAAATACGTTCGGGCCAAATGTGCACAGACTTAATGGGTAACTAATCCTTTAACAGAGAGGCCAACAGGCTCCGGGATCCTTCAGGGCAGCACAGAAGCACTTGAATCTCTCATGGTGGCTGCAATCAATGAGGCAGCGCGATATTTATGATAATTTACGCAATCAGCGTACCAATTTTTTGTGCATGCTCTGAACTTGATTACTAGCTTTGGTTCATGGCTCCTGGTTGCTGGTTTCTTCTACTGGGACTGGGACTGGGTCTGGGACTGGGTCTGAGAATGGGGCTGGCGTTCAAACAATTCGTTTGAAGCCCTTCATAGTTGAGTGAGCTTTGAGCAGCCCGAAAGGAAACCGACAACCGAAGGGCGGCGGGTAAAAAATTGGGAGCCAAATGAGAGTTATGCATCAGACATCCAGCCCAGCAGTGCAGGGCAGTGCTGGGGAGGGGTGGTAGGGCTGGAGGTGGGGTATACCATTTCATTTGTCCGATTGCATTAGGAGGTGGTTTTTCGCCTTGTTCCTCCTGCTGGGCCAGCACCGATGGGACCCTTGCGTTCGTCCTGTTGTTGCCAGGCGATATCATGAACAGTTCCTAACCGCCACACGATACGATACATATATGCAACCTGCTGTTGCTGCTGATTCCACTTCCAATTACTTTATGTTTGTTCTCTCTCCCTCTCTCCTACCGTCGCCTGCTTCCGGTCTTTGTGTGTGTTTGCATGTGTGCGGTATAGCTGCGGGCAGGAAACGCGCGTCATTCCACGCATCCTGCAATTGCGCTCGCACTGGCTAAAGTCCGAGAAGGAGTCGCTCCGGCTGCAGGAGGCCGGCATCACCAAAGAGGTCATGAACAGTGCCATAGCGCAGTTCTGTCTGGAAATCATTGCTAAGCATGGCGAGCCGGCGCCCCGTTTATGTAACAAGGATCCGCTGACGCTGAAAATGGGCTCCTATGTCATCGAGCTCTTTCCGAACGTAAGCATAAGCACCCCACAGCCCACCCAAACCATAAAGCGGCATCTTACGTCAGCCCTGCTCCCAGGCTACCAGACTCCCATTCTCCCATGCTGTATCCTGCTGTGATACAATTTCCTCCGCCATCCTTTCTACATTTTCCTCCTCTTTGCAGGCTAAATTCCTGTTCATGGTGCGCGACGGCCGGGCGACAGTTCATTCGATTATATCGCGCAAGGTGACAATCACCGGATTCGATTTGAGCAGCTACCGCCAGTGTATGCAGAAATGGAATCACGCCATCGAGGTGATGCACGAACAGTGCCGGGATATCGGCAAGGACCGCTGCATGATGGTGAGTACAACGGGTCCCGGTCCCGGTCCCGGTTCCCACGTGACAAGCCAATCAATGATGGAGGAGCACCCGCTTCCATCCGCAGAGGAAATCACCAAAGAGGCTTCTCCTTCTTTGTTTATTTTTGCTTGAATTCCTTAAAGGACGAAACATTCAGTAGCCACATACCAGTTTTGAAGAGATCTTGATTATCTCTCCAATAAGGGAGTTATTATTATGTATTCCATTATGTATCTGATCCATTTAAACCATCCTAAGAACCTTTGGATTCCATTCATTCTTCGACCTCTTTCTGTGTAGTTTCGTTATTTATGGCCACTTGTTTCTGCTCAGGTCTACTATGAACAGCTGGTGCTGCATCCAGAGGAGTGGATGCGCAAGATATTGCAATTCTTGGATGTGCCATGGAACGATGCGGTCCTGCATCACGAGGAGTTCATCAACAAGCCGAACGGGGTGCCGCTCTCCAAGTGAGTTTTTGCCGGTCAATAAAAAAACATTTTTGATTCAATTTTATCCCCGAAACCCGTTAGAGTGGAGCGTTCATCGGATCAGGTCATCAAGCCGGTGAATCTGGAGGCGCTTTCCAAGTGGGTGGGCCAGATACCGGGCGATGTGGTGCGCGATATGGCCGATATAGCGCCCATGCTGTCCGTGCTCGGCTACGATCCGTATGCGAATCCGCCGGACTATGGTAAGCCAGATGCATGGGTGCAGGACAACACGTCGAAGGTAAGGTGCAGCCCCCACCAAAACAACAGCAAAACAGCACACACACGAAAACAGGCTTCAAAACGATGGCGAGGACTCCATGTCCTGTCCATCTCCCACTTTGCACGAAACGCATTTTAAGCCCTCGCACTGTCACGCTCTCTCTATCTCTCTCTCTCTCTCTTGCTCTCTGTCATGCTCTTATGGCGGCCCTCTCCCTAGGGAGGAGGCAAAGGAAGGGCTACTTTCTGTTTGCCTCCCCCTGCGCCCCGGCTAAGCTCCTCCATGCATGCTCTTGTTATCTTTCACCTTTCCCACCCCCACCCCCCTTCACAGCCGCCATGTCATTGGCATATTTTGCACTTCTTTAGCCCCCCCCCCCCCACACACACTCTTTGTGGAAAGGGAAACAAGGCGCAGACATACGCCTTACATCACACGTTTTGCAACACTCTTTATTTATTTTCTTTTCTTTCTTGTATCCTTCTACTCGATTTCGTTTTCTGTGTGTGCGATTTGTGTTTTGTTTTGTTTGTTTTGTGCTTTGCACTTTGCCTTTGCACGTTTCCTTTTTTTGTTGTTGTTGTTGGTTGCACCCCTGCAATTCCCCTGTTTATTTTCTTTTTTTGCTTTTCTTTTTTTTTTGTTATGTATATTCCTCTTTTTTTCAGCTACTTTGATTCTTGTTCCTATGCCAACGATATATCGTACTTATTTGTTGTTTTTGCTCTTCTTATTGGTTCTTGCTTATTGCTTGCGTATGTATATCAATAGCAGTGGTGGAGCAGCACCCATGGGAATGGGAGTGGGAATGGGTATGGGTATGGGTATGGGGGAAATGAATATGATGACTATGACTATGATGAGTCGAAGGTGAAGAGTATGGTGGGGCGACTGGCGAAAGACTACTTGGAGTAGCTTTGAAGATGCGACTATATTGGGTTTCATAAGAATCTTCGTGTAGGAAGCTGGGAAATTATAATTCCCCCAAATTAGATACTCACTGAAAGTGGAACTATTGTATTGTATTATTAGCTTGTTGACGTGCAATCATTGAACCCACAAGTGAAGCTTGTCACGCGCAGGCAACGCCACACCACCCAGAAACGAACAGGTGGGGTACCAGCAGGACCTGGCAAGGGGCTAGTATTTAAGAGACTTAAAGTTGAGCTGTTGTACGTGTACACTTAAAGGCAGAGAAATATTTCTTATGGGTGCAATATATTCGATTTGTGGTGAAGGAGGATGTGTATTCCTCGGTTATTGATCCGAGTCTATATAGCCATGTCTGTCTGTCGCACTCTTTCCTGCACACTCTTCGTCGTGCAGTGTGAGCCTCTGGCGGAGAGGAGCCCTACTGGCCATCGTGCAAACTGGCTTAGATTGCAATTCTTGAGATACATCGATATGTTTACGTTCAGCAGATGAGGAGTGGTCTGGCGGACAGAGCGAGAGCCGGATATTGCCGGATTTCCTTCTGAATTCGACGTTCGTTCCAGTGTGTGAATTGTAATTAAAGGCAAACACTAAGCCGATGACTATAATTCGCATCAATTCCACAAAGTCAAAGTAAAAGTATGTCGAACAGAGAGACACAAGCAGACACAAGCAGACAGACAATGCTGCACAAGTAAATAAAACCCATCTCTGTGTTTATTTATGCCGTGAAAAAGTGATGTGTCAGCAAAGATTGTGGCAATGTTTAAATACCAGTTTGCTTCAAGTTCCAGTCCCAATCGCTTGGCAATCGCCATTCATCCATTCACATTTCTCTCCAATGGCTTTTGGTTAGCAATTACAACGCCCTGAGGTCACAGTTCAATTGCGCTGTGGACCATTGCGGCTGTCATATTACGCATATTCGTCTGACTGAGTGGCATGTTCATTCGGATGATGATTCGGCCACAGATGTTGCCGGCGGGCGTCCCGCCTTACCCACAAGATTTAATTGCAATTTTCGGTTGGCCAGGGACGAACTTGGAGCGGACCAGCGGCGCGATGTGGGGCGCTCTAGACTCCATCTGCCCCATCCTTGCCCCCCTACTCTGTCGCTCTCTCGCCCTCTCGCTCTCGCTCTCTCTCTATGTCTGTCTGCCAGTGCATCCTGCAGAGTTATGTCCTGCGCAGCGACGCGTTAAATTAGCTGCTAATTAATTAGTCCACTCGACTCGAGTTGAGTTAACTTAACTTGAGTTATTTCCTCTTTACGTCTTTTTTTTTTTTTTTTTTTTTTGCATATTTGTTTGTCCAAAGAGTGTCTCATAAATTAAAATTGCATCAGTGTCAGCGCCAGCGCCAGCGCCAGCGCCAGCGCCAGCACCAGACCAATGCTGATAGTGGCAGAGACAGGACTCTGGTCCCGGGTGCACATTTAACTGGATTCTCCACTCCGAAGGGTGGGGTGGCTCCAGTCTGGGTCCAGCGATAGACTGACAGAGCCGGGAACTGAACGGAACGGAGGTCCAGGACTAGCGAGTCGGGACTAAACCGTTCCGTTTAGGATGTGTGGGCAGCCATATACACTGTGCACTGCACTTTTCAACTCGATTTGCTTTCACCTTTCACTGACATTCTGTACAAAATTCTATATACAAAACGAGGTGGAACGTTGTGAGTTGCTGCGGACACCGCAACTCTACGGTTATACCCGATACTAAGTCAGTATGGCTCTCCTCCGGCAGACGCCGCTAATAAAAAACGACACGACAAAGAGTGCGTGCGAGAGAGACAGAAAATCAGTCTGAGCGTGACGTCGGGCGCTGCGTAGCCACTGCAAATTGATTTGTTTCCTTTGGCTATAAAAATGATCTGATCTGATCCAGATTCAGCAATCTGATAGATATGGTCGTTATCTATGATTCTGCGTTTTTAGTTTTCTCAAATCTGCAATATTGTGGATGCAACAGATTTTCGTCCTTTGTGGGGGCGGAAGGGGGTGGGGCGAAATTTTGAGATAAAGGTTTTATAGTGAGATCTAACAGAAGTGCGGATACCAAATTTGGTTACTCTAGCTTTAATAGTCTCTGAGATTTGTGAATATCCCCAGATTTGCATCCTTTGCGGGGGCGGAAGGGGGTGTGGCGAAATTTTGAAACAAACTCGTCTCGGTCCGATATATTAGGAGTGTGGATACCAAATTTGGCTGCTCTAGCTTTTATAGTCTCTGAGATCTAGGCGCTAATGTTTTACTCTAAGCAAAGCCGCCTATGCTACCTGTGTGTTAGAGAGAGACAGGGCGAGAAAAAATGAAATTGTTTTCTTGATGCTGGCTATAATAATAATACGATCGAATTCAGATTCTGCAGTCTAAAAGATATGGTCATTCTCTACGATTCTGCGTTTTTAGTTTTCTCGTATCTTTAAAATTGTGGATGCCACAGATTTTCGCCCTTTGTGGGGGCGGAAGTGGGCGGGGCAAAGTTTTGAAATATTTTTGGAGCAGTGACATATTACAGAAGTCTGGATCCAAAATATCGTTGCTCTAGCTCTTATAGTCTTTGAGCATTAGGCGCTGAAGGGGACGGACAGACGGACAGACGGACAGACGGACGGACGGACAGACAGACAGGGCTCAATCGACTCGGCTATTGATGCTGATCAAGAATATATATACTTTATAGGGTCGGAAACGATTCCTTCTGGACGTTACACACATCCACTTTTACCACAAATCTAATATACCCCAATACTCATTTTGAGTATCGGGTATAAAAATTCTTCTATACAAAATTTTTTTTTAATTTTTCCCTGAAATTTCTGTATTTTTTTTTTTTTTGTATTGCGCTGTTACGGCGGCAATTTCTGCTTGACAGTTGAAATTGCAATGTTTCCACGCTGTTGCCAGTGGGGAGGCGTTACCAGGGATGGGGGTGGGGGTGGAGGGGGAGGGTGCAACACATCAGACAGCTTATGGCATAAGTGGCAATTTAAACATGCATGCCACCACCATCAGAGAGCGACAGTGGCAGGAACGAGCGGACAGGTGAGGCAGTGAGAGAGAGAGAGAGAGAGAGAGAGAGAGAGAGAGAGCCGGACAAAGTTAAGTCAACTTTTGCAATCCCCGTTACAGTTTGACTGGCGATTCCTGACGCCACATAATGCCACCAGGCACCTGCCACACTGCCACCTGCCGCCCCCCAACCGTAACCGTAGCCATAACCAGGTCGCAATGCAATTAATATCAATTGAAAGCCCGCCAATTTCATTATATTCCTTAATTTATGTTAATGACAAATATTTTAATTAATTGACGCGGCTGCTCCCCTGCTCCTCCACCCCTCCACCTTCCTGCTGCTCGAGGTGTCTGCGCACATTTAATATTTTATCCATATTTGCATATTTCATATTTGTGCAGTAAAAAAAAAACCGAGTGCGGGGGAAAACTGCACGCGAAAAATGGAAATCAAAATAACGAAAGGGAAATACCCTCAGGCAGGGCCCCAAATGGGGGACCAGCGAATGTAAATATAAATAAGATGGGACCGCTGCAAAAAATGCTCGTGTAAAGCAAATATGTTGAAGGGGCAGGACAGCGCAGAGTGCAACGAGAAAAATCTGTTCAAAAAAATCATCACATTGCAAAAATACCAGAGAATACTGTGGACGGGGGACGGATGGACGGGGGAGGAAAAAATGCGAATTGCGAAAATATATTTGCTGCATAAAAAACCCGATGGCAAACCGACAAAAGCTAGATTAAAAACTGCCCAAGGAAGATTAATAAACAGCATTATTCAATTAACTACCACACCCATGAAAGAAATTTTGTATTTGTATAATATTTAAAGCCCTTAAGGATACACAAAGGCAAAGTTTTCATCAGTAAAAATGGACATGGATTTGGAATACATTTAAAAAATGGGGAAAGTAAACTCTTTGCCCACTTTGTGTCAGTCTTTGAAGGTTTTTTATGGCGCAAAAGATGATCTTTCATACTAGTTTCGCTAAAAGTCTTTTGTGGCAACACAAAGTTGAACAACAATTTGCGGTGTTCGAATGTTTCCGTTTTTGGCAATGTTCTGAAGCATAAACGGGCAGCTGCTGGCATATCCACATATGCTGGGGCTGTTGTGTGTATCTGTGCAGATTGGGGAGCGACCATAATGAAGCGGCGGCCATCGGATCGGCAACAGCTGCTTAAATGGAGGATATAATCCACAGTATTTATGCTCAATCCTCATATGTGTGCCTGCGGATGTTCATTTAAAATATTTAAAGGATAGTTGCATCTACAATTAAGACATACATATGTACATATAGTATTTGTATTTATGCAGTCGATTAATTTGTTTGTACATTTTTCAGGTGAAGGCAAATCGAAGACTGTGGGAAAATAAGGCCAAGCAAGTGCTCCAAATGAATCCCAGGTCGAGTGAGGACACTGATAACGACAACCCCAACAATATAATTAACACTAGCAACAACAACAACAACAACAAAAATAATAATAATAATAATAATGATATGAACGATAATAATCTGTACAATATCAATAAAATTATACCAGTAGAAGAACAAGAACAGCAGCAGCATCAACTGCCGAGACACCATCAGGAGCATGAGCAACAACATCGGCAGCAGGACCATCAGCATCAAAAAAAAGAATACGTTCGAGAAGAGGAACAGGAACAGGAACCGGAAGACGAACAACAATTGTTGCATCAAAAGCCAAAGGATGTCATTACGATAAAGCAGCTGCCATTACAGTTCAGTGGCAGCATCAGTAACAGCAACAACAAAAACAACAACAACAACAAAAACAATAACCACAACAACCAGAATGGCCCACTGGCGGATACATGATATCCGCATATACCCATAAGACTGCCACGTGGCAAGCACTGAGAGAACGCGGAAACTTTGATAATGATAATGATAACAATGAGAGATGTATATGTAGATGTTGTTGGATGATGTGGTGCGCACAGACACCCAAAACATACACACACACACACAAATGCAAACCAATTTTAAATTGTATAAGCTATACAGCATAAAAGATTACATTTGGATATACATATGTGTATATGTATGTATGATGTACATGTACGTACATATAATAATGCTTTTTAATGTTACCAAATATGAACGAAACACAACAGAAAACATTTTAGCCCACAACAGGGTGCGTTTCATGACAAAGAATAGGATAGACATTGAAACAGATTATCCCATAAATGATAAATGATATGTAAATGTATTCTTTGGGATGACACAGGCATTAATCTGTTCCACAATTCGCTTAGACACCATCTCTTACGTATGTATATGCGAATACACCATTCCCTAAACTCTATTCATTAATTGTCTTAATAAGAAGAGTGATATTATGCTTTAGTTTCACTTACACAGTTACAGACCAGGTTTAAATCTACTTAATTTAAAGCAAGAACTCCATTGGACAACAGACTTAATATGTATAAACTAGAACCACTTCCATATAACTGGGCAGCAGATCTGTGGACACTCTTAAGTCATGAAACGCACTGTCTGCATAGTATATCTACTCCGAACAATCTATAAGTTACAAAAGACCACCAACAGAAGCTGAAGAAGTGCAAGCAAAAGCTCGAAATTGATTGCAGGCGCTCACCGACCTCCTCTATAATATATATTTATATATATATATATAAAATCTTTCAATTTAGTTTAGACACAATCTTTTGTACGCATGTTTTTTGAGAGACTTATAATTAGATACCATTTTTTTGCATATTTTTAATTGTGTATATATGTATGTACGAGTAAATTATAAAATAATTCGATTATTATTTTCCCCCTAAGCGTTTCTGATCGAAAGAATCTCTCGCGGTGGCTGAATTTCGTCTTTGGACATCTCTAGGCCCCTTTATAATATAAAATAGGGCACTGTTTATAAGCTTGCATGGCGGGACAGCAACAGATATCTATAAATGTTACATTTTTAATGAATGAGCTTTTAACATTTTTTATTTCAACTGACGAAATATTAGTAATACATCAAATATTTGCTCCTGTAGGGGTTTTAAAAACGAAAAGAAAATCGTGAGTAAGAATAAAACTAGGAATTTTTTAATCGTTTTTTTTTTTTTGTTGCAATAAATTGACTGAATGTAAAGAAAATAAATTGAATAAATCAATATTAATATTTAATTATACAATATACATACAATATATTATGAAATATATAAATGGATGTATCTATGTAAAACTGAATGTCTAAATATGTAAATGCGAGTTGTAATAGATTTTATCATACTCATGCATGTATGTATGTATATGTGTGTGCAATGTATGCCATGTGTCTGTATGAATAAGAGAGGATCATAGACCTCGAAGGATGTTAGGCTTACAACAGTTAAACTGTTGGCTTTGTGGGCACCTGGAGGACGTTTACTTCAGCCTCCACTGCCTGGCTGGACGACAACTCGAGCGACAGCAGATAGAGCGAGAGACAACTAACTTATGATAAGCGACTGCTTGACGTGACTGTACTTACCACATACAGCTTAAGATCAGTTACAGCCACGACATAGGGACACAACCCTCGTAGAGAGTAGTTCGAGGACGGGATTGTACTTACATACGACTAATATAGAGTAATGACAGTTTAACTGCTGGCGCCTGCATAAAATATGGGTACTGCCAGTGCACTGACAGGATATGGATCTTTTGGATACTAGTAAAGATGAATTCTAGGGTGACGGGACTATACTTTCAGGATATAGGCTAAGAACTGGATAATTGCTGGCGCCTGGATGACATTTACTTCAGAGAGCACTGCTTGAGGCTGCACTCCACTTCATTTAGCGGAAAAGGACTCTACGAACAACCAGCTAGAGCGAGAGGCAACGACTTGCTTGGACCGTACTGTACTGACCGCAGCTCCTTCCAAGTTAGTTTTGAAGTAAATGTCCTTGCGGAACATTATTTTGTTTTCTTTTTGCCACTGAACGCACTCCTCCACACACACAGACAGGCACTCACACAGCCATATGAGCCTTGTCCGTCCTAGCTGCTGCGTGGGTGCATGGGTGTGCGCGAAAGGGATAGCTAGATGTTGTATGTATGCTTGTACTTAATTGCCCTTAGCCTGGCACTCAAAGAAAAAGTCCCTTAAGATAAGTTTTTATTTTATTGTTTATTTCAATAAATAAAAACAGAAGAGAATTGCTGACAATAAATAAGAAAACAAAAAATGATTGCTTAGAGGAAATTGAAAATGACAAAAGACAGAGAAGGATAATCCATATACCGCTGTCTCCCTTGCTCACTAAAACATTATTTAAAAAAAAAAGAAGTAAAATTTCAGACAATGAAATGAGCAAAAGTTTATGATATGTATGTATGTAATATATATTTTAAATCTGTGTGTGCGCGTTTCAGAGCCAACGAAAGCAGAGCATAAATGTGCGCCATGAAATGGACAAATGCCTTAATGCTGGCCATGAAACGCAGTGTATGTGTAAACTATACGAGTATATAAATGTGAAATGTGAAACGTGAACTATTTTTGCTATCTTATAAGATGCATTTTTTGTCTAATTTTTACCAATGTATGTATGTATGTACTATATCTCCCCAAATATAAATATGCATAGACATATATTGTATGTAAACATCATTTTATTCTGTGGGTAATCGCTGCATGTTGAAACACCAATTTGTATTAGCACAATGGATCGCACGATCTACTTGCAGCAGACAGACAATCAAGGCTCAAAGAAACTATAAAATTAAACTAAATGAATCCCCAACAAGCCCCATCCAAGGAACCATAACGAAGAGTATTTAGCAAATTAGAAACCAGGAAAACGGCAACAAAAAAAAACACCCTGTACGCTGCAAAGATCACATACGGAAAAGAACCATGTAATTCTATTCATTCGAAGATTTTCCGTGTGCAGTTCGTAGGCTAAGCAAATTGTACAATATTGTATTCATTAATAACACCGACATGAACATGAAGAATCTGCCGAATATGTATACTTACGTGGAATTATACTATACAACCAAAAACAAACAAAAAACAAAAAAAAACAAATCAAAAGCGGAAACAATAAAAGTTAAACATAACATATAAAACATAACGTTAAAATTACAAAAAAAAAAAACGTTTGTACTTATTCCTAAAATTTCAGACTGTAGTAATATCAAGGACCAAGGACCAGTCATATACATATGTACTATATTCTGTTTCCCTGATATATGTACTTATGTACTTGCAGGTTTTGTCTTTGATTGAAAATCTGATGCGCAGGTGGCGAAGTGGGACGTCATTTTCTGGGCCCTAACTCTGCTAGGAGTCCAAGATTAACTGGTAGCCATCATTTGAAATTTTCATTGTGGGCATGAAAAAGCGCCCCATTTCTCAAGAATTGTAGAACTTCTGATCCCGCATCGGCTTTGTTGGCTTTACATCGTTGTCCTGCTTTGTCTCAAAGTTGCTATATTTTGATAAGAACTCTTTGATATGCTGTTTTGCAATTCTCGGTGCTATAGACATGATCTGAAAGGGCATTACAAGTTTTTCTGTCATAGTTTTTGTACTCAGTTTACGAATAAGATGGGAGAGCTATTCGAATTGACCAACACGGAAAAAGTTTCTTCTATTGGATATTTTAGGATAGAAGGTTCGGCTTTCAAGGTGCCGAGCAGATAGGAATTCACATATGAAGAGGCTAGGCACTTATAAAGATGGGGGGATTCATATATTTAAGATACTAGATCTACGATTGGCTATGGCTCTGGCTCTAGCCGACGCTAAAAATATACCTTGAGGATGCTTCAGGAACGTTATTCTATTCTATACTATTCGAGCTTCCCACTCTGACGTAGATTAACCAAGATAGAGCCACCCAAGGCCAGTCAATCCATGTACTATACGAAATGTAGCGTTCAAAAAAAGTATAGCATACTTTGCAGCTGTTGAATTGTTGTAACCGTCGTTCATGCATAGGTACATAGATTGAACATTTTTACGCTATCCCAGAAAGGGTTTTATGGACCAAAGAATACACCATTAAATTTGTCAGTTGACATTGTTTGTTGTTCCTATGAGATATTCTGGACTTCCTTCCCATCTTTCCCAGCAATCTTTTTGGAACTGCTGCAGACTAGTAAATATCCCGCGTTCACTTCTAGACCGCACTCGCATAAGTAGTAGCAGAGATATGCTACAGCGAAAGAGCGGATATTGGTACATATGTTTCCCATATCCATACGCCATGGAGAACCAATGAGGGCCAATGCTGAGAGAGAGAGACCCGATCGACGCACAGACATACACACAAACAACAGGAATTGTTCATAGATATGATGCCATAACACACTTTAATATCTTGTTTGATCTTTTTTTTTTAGTTGATGGTTTTTGTTCTCTGGTATTTGACTTAGTTGGTGTTGGTTTTGATGTTTTATTTGAAAGAAATTGTACATTTCCTGTTTCAATTTGATAAGTTCAATAAAAAAAGTTGCTCAAGTTGTTGTTTTGTTGTTTTGCAAGAATAATAAGTATGTTTTTGAATAAGCTAAGATAATAACTATTTAGTTCATTCTTTTACTTTTATTAAAATTGTTTGGCTTTGGTATTTTTGCTTTGGTATTTAAATGTAGAGTTTGTTTTACGAAAAAGACGGGGGGGGGAACGAATGGCTTCAGAGTTCAGGGTTCAGAGTTGGCTTATTCCTCCTCCTCCTCCTCTTCCTCCTCCTCCTCCTCCTCTTCCTCCTCCTCTTCCTCCTCCTCTTCCTCTTCCTCCTCCTCTTCTTCCTCATCCTCCTCAGCCTCCTCATCCTCCTCCTCGACGACCTCCTCCTCGACTTCCTCATCATCCTCAACGATGTCCTCATCGGCCTTGGCGTCTTCCTCGCCCTCGGGTGTCTCGGGCTCACCGGCCTTCTTGCCTGGTCGCTCGCCGAACCACTTTGGCAGTTTGGCTATATATTCGGAGAAAGAAAACACACAGAAACACAAACGATTAGCACTGGATCGATCGAATG